CTATGGCTTGCGCCTGTATTCCCAGCACTTTGGGAGGCCAACGTGGGTGGATCATAAGGTCAGGAGATGGAGACCATCCTGGCCAACATGGTGAAACCCCGTCTCTCCTAAAAATACAAAAATTAGCCAAGTGTGGTAGTGTGCGTCTGTAGTCCCAGCTACTCTGGAGGCTGAGGCAGGAGAATTGTTTGAACCCAGGAGGTGGAAGTTGCAATGAGCTGAGATTGCATCACTGCACTCCAGCCTGGTGACAAAGCAAGACTCCTTCTCAAAAGAAAAAATCTATTTTAACTTCCGGGGTACATGTGCAGGATGTGCAGGCCGTTACATAGGTAAACATGTGCCGTGGTGGTTTGCTGCACCTGTCAACCCATCATCTAGGTGTTAAGCCCAGCATGCATTCACTATTTTTCCTGATGCTCTCCCTCCTCCAACCCAACAAGAGGCCCCAGTGTGTGTTGTTCCCCTCCCTATATCCATGTGTTCTCATTGTTCAGCTTCCACTTTTAAGTGAGAACATGTAGTGTTTGGTTTTCTGTTCCTGTGTTAGTTAGCTGAGGATTATAGCTTCCAACTCATCCATGTCCCTTCAAAGGGCTTGATCTCTTTCCTTTTTGTGGCTGCATAGTATTTCATTGTGTATATGTACCACATTTTCTTTATCCAGTCTATCATTGATGGACATTTGGGTTGATTACACGTCTTTGCTATTGTGAATAGTGCTGCAGTGAACATATGCACACATGTATCTTTGTAACAGAATGATTTCTATTCCTTTGGATGTATACCCAGTAATGGGGTTGCTGGGTCAAATGGTATTTCTGGTTCTAGGTCTTTGAGGAATCATCACACTGTCTTGCACAATGGTTGAACTAATTTCCATTCCCACCAACAGTGTAAAAGCATTCCTATCTCTCCACAGCCTCACCAGCATCTATTGTTTCTTGACTTTTTAATAATCGCCATTCTGGCTGGCATGATCTGAATTCTAACTCACCACTGTCTACCTGGCATGAGATGGTATCTCATTGTGGTTTTGATTTGTATTTCTCTAGTGACCAGTGATGTTGAACATTTTTTCCTATGTTTGTTGGCTGCATAAATGTCTTTTTTGAGAAGTGTCTGTTCATATCCTTTGCCTACTTTTATTTGGAGTTGCCTGTTTGTTTGTTTTTCTTGCAAATGTGTTTAAGTTCCTTGTAGACTCTGGATATTAAACTTTTGTCAGATGGATAAGTTGCAAAATGTTTTCCCGTTCTGTAGTTTGGTCGTTCGCTCCGATGATAATTTCTTTTGCTGTGCAGAAGCTCTTTAGTTTAATTCATCCCATTTGTTAATGTTTGCTTTTGTTGCAATTGCTTTTGACATTCTCGTCTTGAAATCTTTGCCTATGCCTATGTCCTCAATGGTATTGCCTAGATTTTCTTCTAGGGTTTTTATAGTTTTGGGTTTTACAATTAATTATTTAATCCATCTTGCATTAATTTTTGTATAACATATAAGGAAGGGGTCCAACTTCAATTTTCTGCATATGGCTAGCCAGTTCTTCCAGCACCATTTATTAAATAGGGAATCCTTTCTCCATTGCTTCTTTTTGTCAGACAAACAATCTCATTTAATCCTCATGCAACCTTACGAGGTCAGTATTACTCCATTTTACAGATGAGTCAACTGAGACTCAGGGAAGCTAAAGAAATTGCCCAAAGTCACATATAAAATGAGTAGTGGTGCCTGGATTTGGACCTAGGTTATTCTAGCTCTTTGCACAGTAAAAAAGAATGGCTCATAGGTTGAGTGACTTTGATGTAGCAGATGCCATGCTAAACTCCATTTTACAAATGCAGAAACTGAGTCTCAGATAAAGTAGCTGGCCCAAGGCCTAAGGTAGCTAGTGGTGAGTTAGAATTCAGATCCCCTCCATCCGATATGAGAGATTCTGCTCTTAATGGTCCTACCCTGCTGCAAAGCTCAGTGACTACAGCAGGGTGGTGGGGCAGGTCTAGGTTTGGACACAGAAACAAAAGGCAGATGTTTGAGCCCAAGAGTTCAAGACCAGCCTGGGCAACATGGCGAAACCCCATCTCTACAAAAAATGCAAAAAAAATAGCTGGGCTTGGTGGCACATGCTGGTCTCAGCCACTTGGGAGGCTGAAGTGGGAGGATCACTGGAGTTCAGGGAGGTCAAAGCTGCAGTGAGCTGTGGTCCTGCCACTGCAATCCAGCCTGGGCAACAGCTTGAGATCTGTCTCAAAACAAAAGGACAAACGTGTTTCTTCTTCACAGTCACCGTTTACTTCCCCCCGAGATATATGAGTACTTTTCACTATGGTAAGGCCAGGTAAAAAGTGTGGGCCCCACCACCAGCCTGCTTGGATTTGACTGCTCAATTTGAAGAACTAACTCTCTGATGTTGGGCTTGTTACTTTGCCTCTCTGGGCCTCAGTTTCCACGTATGTGAAATGAGGATATTAATGATGAGCGTCTTATCAGGTTGCAAAGATTTGATGAGTCAATCTGGGCAAAACAATGAGAACAGTGCTTGGCACATCATACATGATGGTTCTTATGATATATTATCACTGCCAGAAAGACCTAAGAATATCAATCATTGCAAGGTAAAACTGTGTCTTCATGAGTTATGCCTTTTATTCAAGGAGGAACACAACAAGGAGAAAAAGAAAAACAACCAAAAATTTTTTATAAAAACCTCTAAGAGCACAACCTTTCATATCAGACTCAGGGGATCTGAATTCTAACTTACCACTAACTACCTGTGGGCCTTGAGCTACTTTATCCAAGACTCAGTTTCTGCATCCCTTAGTGGAGTTTAGCGTGGCCTCTGCTACAGCAAAGACACTCGGCCTTTTAGCCATCCTTATTTACAGTGCAATACGCTAGAAAGACCTAGGTTCAAACCTAGACTCTTCTACTCATTTGCTAACAGATGAACAAAAAGCCTCCAGCTGAGCACTCTTTATCAGGGCAGCTCAGGCTTCAGCACAATTCCAGGCTCACCGCTCGGGACAGTGTCCCTGGAGTTTCAGCGGAAGCACCCACTCATGGGGTGCGCTCCACACACACTGGCCATAAGCTTGGCCAAGCATAGACCAGCTAGAGTGGCCTCTGCCCAGACTAGATTTCAGGACCTGCTCACTAGAGGGCAACATCCTGTGGGGGCGCCAGTGAGCTGTGTCTTTGGAGTCAAGCCAACCTGGCTTCCAAGGCCAGCTCTGTCCTGTCACCTTGCGTTCACAGTTTCACCATCGGAGCCTGTTTCTTGGCCTGTAAACTGGGGGCAGTGATACCTGGATCACAGCTTTGTTATGAGAATTAAGTAAAAAAACAAACAAACAAACATGTCTTAAGCACATAGTTGGTTTCAATAGAAAGTAGTGGCTGTCATTATTCTAAGCGTTACTACTAACTTGGTAGCCTCCTCAGGTTAGTTATCCAGCAGGAATGACTACTGGCTAAATTTTGAGCCTAGCACGGTCCCCAAGTCTCAGCCTCCCAGTCCCCCTGGAAGGGACCCCTGGCTTCACGAAGCAGTAGAGGAGAAAGCTGAGAGGCATTCTGAGGAACAGGGCTGCAGACTCGAGTTTGTGACCCTCAGTACTTTCTTTTCTTGTTGTTTGTTTTTGAGACAGTCTCACTCTGTCCCCTAGGCTGGAGTGCAATGGTGTGATCTTGGCTCACTGTAAACTCTGCCTCTGAGTTCAAGCAATTATCATGCCTCAACCTCCTGAGTAACTGGGATTAAAGGTGTGCACCACTACACCCGTTAATTTTTGTATTTTAAATAGAGATGGGGTTTTGCCACATTGACCAGGCTAGTCTCGAACTCCTGACCTCAAGTGATCCTCCCGCCTCAGCCTCCCAAAGTGCTCAATACTCTTCTTAATTAACTGACAAAGAAAATCAGGCCTGTCTCCTCCTCTGAGGCTTCTTTTCTAAACTAGTGCAGATCTAATTTTTTTACTATCTGCCTGTGGCATGCTTTGGGCATGGGGAGCCCTCACTAGTATCCCCTCATGACACCGTTAGAGCGACTTCATTATGTATAAAGAGAGACCATGGAATGACAGGACCGGATCCTTAATAAACAGTGAAAGTCTATACATCAAAATGAATTTTATTTTCTTCAAAGGAGTCAGATACCTGGGAGGCTGTGTGCAAATTCTAAACGTTTTGTGAACTTTCCCTTTGGTTCTTGTTTAAAGCCTCTAGCACATTCTTTCTCGCATCCTCAGAGTTAACATGCCCTCTTCCTTTCAGGGTAGATTTAATTTTTGGAAATAGCCAAAAGATATTTGAAGCAGAACCTGCAAAATAAAAGAGGTTAGTCATGCAGGAGATAGTAATACGTTAGAATAAAAAATAAGGTTATATTTAGAAAATATTGATTTGCCTTTTTGATGCTGCATGTGTATAATCTGGCTCTGAAATCAGGGGCACAAAGTGGACTTCCAGACAGGCTTGAGCAATAGAAGTAGATGTGGAAGTAATTCTGGCTTCCCAAGGCAAATTCTTTGATAGGAACAAACAACCGTTTAGATATAAAAGATGTGATACATTCCTTTAAAAAGATTCTGACCTTATGTCATTGTAGGCACACCTCATATTTCAATTATTCATATAGTTTTTGCTTGAGCAGTTGCTGATTTAAGAGTAATGTCATGTCTTTTGCATGCTCATATCATTTGGATTTTTCCTTCCTCCCTCCCTCCCTTCCTCTCTCTCTCCTTCTCTTCCTTCCTTCTTTCCTCCCTCCTTCTCTTCCTTATTTCCTCCTTCCCTCCCTCCCTTCCTTCCTTCCTCCCTCCTTCCCTCCCTCCCGCCTTCTCTTCCTTCCTTCTTTCCTCCCTCCTCTTCCTTCTTTCTTCCCTCCCTTCCTTCCTCCCTCCCTCCCTCCCTTCCTTCCTCCCTCCCTCGCTCCCTCTCTTCCTCTCTCCCTTCCTTCCTTCTTTCCTCCTTTCCTTCCTTTCTTTCATCCTTATCAGGCATATGTTGAAACAATTAGACTAAAAGATGATGAAATACTCAAGGTACAAACCAAAGAAGATGGAGATGTCTTTATGTGGTTGAAGCATGAAGCTTCCCGAGGCAATGCAGCAGCTCAGGTAAACATGCAGGCTACCGACTTGGAGATTCTGTCAGCCATGATAGAGTGGGTTATGTCGTGGTAACAAAACATCTCAACCCTCAGTGGCTTAAAACAGTGCCAGTTGATTTCTCACTCACACTGCATGTCCAGTGGGGGTTGTCAGGGGCAGGCCAGAGTTGTCACAATCCCTTAAGAGCCCAAGCTGACAGAGGCTTCCAGAAGCATTGCATTTGGGCCGTGGCTGTAGCACCTTAACAGCTGGTTAACACTTCCGCCCAGAAGTGGCATATTTCATTGGCCAGAGCAAATCATGCAGCTTCTCTTGACTTCAAGTGGGCCAGAGTGTGGTTCTGCCACTCGCCCAGAAGGAGAGAGAGCCACAATATTGATGTGCAGCTCTAAAGACTACCATCAGGTACGTTGATGCATCCATCAGATAGAAAAACAAGACGCATCTTGGGGTGCAGGAGAAATTAGACAGGCATCAAGAAGACCACAACCTCAGCTAGGAGACCAACAGAAAGTTATTTATGGCTTGTTGGACCAAAAGGATCAAGCTTGTCTCTTGAACATCTCGTCTTTGGATGGACTTTTAAGACGTATGAGAAAGGGCAGACAGCTGGCAAACATCCTCTCTGCTTCCCTGCTCTGAGTTCACTATGAAGAGGAGCCTTCATGGGAGCCTGTGAAGGCTGATTGCACCAGGAGGAAGCCTCCTTCTCACAGGAAAGATTTCACGTTGGCCTAGTGCTCCCTGTGAGTGCAGCAGCAGTGGGAAGAACCTCTGGGGCTGCCAAGGAGGCTGAAGCCCAGAGATGGGAAAAGAAAAGAAAAAGAAAGGAGTCACAGGCATTGTCAAAGTGGGCAGTTCAGGGGCTGCTTTTTTTTTTTTTTTTTTTTTGAGACAGAGTCTTGCTCTCTCACCAGGCTGGAGTACAGTGGCACGGTCTCGGCTCACTGAAACCTCTGTTTCCCTGGTTCAAGTGATTCTCCTGCCTCGGCCTCCCAAGTAGCTGGAACTATAGGTGCCCACCACCATGCTCGGCTAATTTTTGTATTTTTAGTAGAGACGGTGTTTCACCATGTTGGCCAGTTTAGTTTTGATCTCTTGACCTCGTGATCCGCCCACCTCAGCCTCCCAAAATGCTGGGATTACTGGCATGAGCCACTGTGCCTGGCTTTTTTTTTAGAGTCAAAGTCTCACTCTGTTGGCCAGCCTGGAGTGCAGTGGTGTGATCATAGCCCACTATAGCCTCAAAGTTCTGGGCTCAAGCGATCCTCTTGCCTCAGCCTCCCTAGTAGCTGGGACCTTGGCATGTGCCACCATGCCATGCCCTGCTAATTTTTAAATTTTCTGTGGAGATGAGGTCTTCTTGCTGTGTTGCCCAGACTGGTCTTGAACTCCTGGCCTCTAGTAATCCTCCTGCTTAGCCCTCTCAAAGTGCTGGAATTAAGGCATGAGCCACCACACTTGGCCCCAGAGGCTCTTTTATAACAGGCCTCCCACCTCTCTACAGGTGTCTTCCCCACATTTCAGGAGATACTTTGCTGGAAGTTATAAGTATTTGGTGGGGGAGGGAAGATAACGAGAAGAGAGAAGAAACAGAAAGAAGGAAAGATAATAAGAGACCCATGTGGAACCAGAATGTTAACACACATTGCTCTGGCCCTGTTCCTGGGCATCTGTCCCTAGCCTACAGTCTTTCTAGTACTCGGAATTCCAACGTATAGCTCTGGGAATGACACTGCGAGAGCCATTTCCCGTGTGCTCCAGAGCTTGCATAAACTTTTCTAACCATGAGCACTTCCTCCTTCCTTTGTTCACTAAGTCTTTGTTGAGCAGCCTCTACAACCTCTTGAGCTCTGCTGCGTCAGGGGGCAAAAGACAATGGCAAAGATAAGTAATATCTTGAGGTTCCTCCCCTCCGAGAGCTTCCAGCCTCCAGTCTGATGGTGGAGCCAGCCAAGTAGATGATGAGATGAGAGGAGATAAGATGAGAGGAGATATCAATTCTATAGAAGGATGCAGATACATCCTTCATAATCTGTAATGATAGAGATGTACAGAGACTTCCATGCCAATCACTGGGCCAAAAGAAAGAACAATACCTCTCAAAGGAGTGGCATTTGAGGAGTTCTGATTATTGACAAAATTCCCTTTAGCTCTGGTCCTGGGTGCAGTTGGTATACACACACACACACACACACACACACGAACCATTTCTGGCTTGTGTTAAGGGCTTGTATTTACACAAGTCCATGTTCAGGGCTCTGTCCTCCAGTTGGAAGATAAAGTGTATCGAGCTAATCCTTGGTTCTCAGCATAAAGCATTGTAAACTAGGTTTGCCCTCCCACCTCTCAAAGTCTTGTGTTAAGCATTGCACAGGAAAAGTCACTGTTCTAAATTGTTATTGTCTTTAAGCAACGATTGGCCCAGATGCTGTTCTGGGGGCAGCAAGGTGTGGCCAAGAATCCCGAAGCAGCAATCGAGTGGTACGCCAAGGGCGCCCTGGAGACAGAGGATCCTGCATTAATCTATGACTATGCCATTGTGCTGTTCAAGGTAAGAATCACTTCATTCATGCTGAAATTGCGCAATTTTTATCAGCCTCCTGAGCAGTTTCCTGTGCAGGCAAACAGGGAGTCGATAATTGAGGAAACTTAGTATATGCTTCTGTCACTCATGATGGAAGGGATATTGGCTAAAAAGGCAGAGTCAGAAGCAGTTCCCTGTTCTCATTTTTAATCATTAGTCTTCTGTTTGGCACCTGGATTCTCTGTGCTTCCGCAAGAACCGCAGCGTTCCGGAGGAGACACCCATATTTTATGGATTGGCACCCAGCCGCCAGCCCCCACAGATACTGCAAGTTTGCCACCAGGCAGAGTTCTCTTTTAATTACAGCTTAAACACAGTGTGTAATTGGGCTGGATCCCAACAGTCCTGCTGATGAAAATAAAGATATTGGTTTTAAGCCAACAGGAGAGGGGTGGGAAGAGCCTAGGAGACAGTCATTAAAGTCCCAACTCTGCAGCCATCAGGTATGTCCTTGGAGTCTGATCTCATGGGACGGTGGCAATGACCACAGATTGAACGAGATAATAGGACCAATGGATTTGGGGGACCGTAAAATGTGCCGTGTTCCTTATACAAAATAATATGGCTTGGCGCAGTGGCTCACGCCTGTAATCCCAGTACTTCAGGGAGGCCAAGGCAGGCGGTCAGTAGTTCAAAACAAGCCAGACCAATACGTCGGAACCCCATCTCTACTAAAATTACAAAAATTAGCCAGGCATGGTGGCTGTGCCTGTAATCCCAGCTACTCAGGAGGCTGAGGCAGGAGAACTGCTTGAACCTGAAAGGCAGAGGTTGCAGTGACCCAAGATTGTGCCGCCGCACTCCAGCCTGGGTGAGACTCCATCTCAAAAAAAAATTAGTAATAGTTTACACTGATTAACTGAGCGCTTCTTACCTGCTTTGCACGTACGAATGCATTGAATCCTCACAACCACCTACGAGATTGGTACCTTGGTATGTTACGATCGCTGTTTGTTTACATGGAAACAAAGGCACAGAAAGATTTTGTAACTTGCCCAAGGTCACCCAAACGGTACATTTCTGCCCTGGGACTGGGATCCAGGCAGTTTGGCTTCACAGTCAGCATCCCCAAACAGAGACATCAGTTCATCAATCTTAGAAAAGTAAAAAGCCTTGGCTTTGGTAAGGAAATTCTTGGACTTATATCCACACCCAAAGAAAGCAGCAGCCCCCAAAAAGCAAGCATCTTCAAACAAGCCCAGGCCCATCTCCAGAACACAGCTGTGGCCACTCCGTAATTAACAACCGTGACTGTGGCTACATTGCTAACCCTCCCTACCTATCAAAGCCTGAAAACCTATTGGTTGTTGTGGTTTCCAAATGGAGGTCCCAGACCTTCTCTTTCCAGTTGTCAAATCAACATAGAAATGGTTTGAATCTGAGCCATATGCCAATGCATTCATGTATTCATTCAATAAACATCATTCCATTCAGGGCTGACCATGCCAGGCTCTGGTCTAGATGGAGGGGCATATGGATGCAGGAGTCACATCCCTGGCCTCAGGGAGCTCATACACAGCGGGGAAGACAGAGGACCGACTTCAGTAAGCACAGAGGAGCAGCACCTATCCATCAGAGTGGAGGCAGGTTGCTATCCAAAGATAAAGGCCCAAAACAGACAGTAGCTCTGTCCACCAAGATCACACAATCTACAATGAGAGGCAAATCCAGAAATAAATGACTCTGGGAGTGACATAATGCCTTCTCTAGGTTTGCTTTCTCACACTTTAGAGCTTTTTTGCAGAGAGGGGTGTTCTGCATTCTTGCTAAGTTTTCTCTGGGTGGGAGGAAGGAAGCCCTTTATTAGCATCTCAGGGAAGATTTCCGCCTCTGGCTAGAAGGTCTTTTCAAGTGTATTCTCCGTGAACAAACCCCCTGCTGAAAATGGGCTTTCCATATACAAAGAACAGTAAATTCATTTGACTGTGTGTGGGCGTCCAACGTGTATGCAAAGATGATAACGGGATGGTGGCTGTGATTCCTTCTGGGTAAGTCGAGTCCGTCTTGCATCCACATGAAGATAAAGCTTTGACTTTGACAGCGGCTCTTCCGTCCATTCACTCAGCAGACAGTTACTGAGTACTTACGATGTACCAGGACTTTACCTTTCTCTCACTGAACAACTTCCAGTACTACTCACATTCCTGCAGAGTACATCGTCTTTAAGCCGGGTATGTTGGCTCACACCTGTAATCCCAGCACTTTGAGAGGCAGAGGCGGGTGGATCACCTTAGGTCAGGAGTTTGAGACCAACCTGGCCAACATAGTGAAATCCCAGCTCTACTAAAAATACAAAAAAAAAAAAAAAATTAGCTGGGTGTGGTGCTGGGCGCCTGCAATCTGGGATACTCAGGAGGCTGAGACAGGAGAATCGCTTGAGCCCGTGAGGTGGAGGTTGCAGTGAACAGAAATCACACCACTGCACTCCAGCCTGGGTGACAAAGTGAGACTCCGTCTCAAAAAAAAAGTCATCCCACTTTTGATTCAATAGTGAAACATCCCTACTCTAGAAATCAGACGATGTGGGTTGTCGTTGCAGCTCTAACTGTGAGGCTTTGGCTAAGTCAGCCACTCTGAGCCCCCGTTTTATTTCTTCAAAACTAAAAAAGAGTTGGGGGGAGATAAACTTTTATTATGCTTTAATCAGGCACTAACCTTCTCTGATTCTGGGCTTTCTGATGCTTTTCCAGAAGTCCAAAAAGCTTGTATCCTTCCCCATCCCATTACCCCAAGTGTCCTTCGACGTCCTTTTCCCTCTCCTCTTCCCCCTCATTAAATGAAGCAGTGACGCCATTCTGAAAAATATTTTCGTCTTCTGCTTTGCTTCAGTTCGTCAGTTTCATTAAATAAGCAAGTTAAAGTCGAGTAGAAACTTGGCACATGTCATTTAACCTTCAGTTGGATTCACAGTTTTGTTTGGGGTCCTGGAAGATAGAGAGGCAAGCACATCCTGCCTGGTTCTTGGATCCTACAAGGAGGTTATGAGCTGAAACAGGCAGGAGAAAATAGAGTGTGGCGGTTTTGAGTTTGGCTTCTGGAGTCCACCTGGCTGGATTCAAATTCTGCCCCCATTTCCCATTGTGTGACTAGAGGCATATTTCTCGGATCAGAATAACAGCAGCACCTCAGGTAGAGTTGATGAAGCACTTAGTCCTTGGCCAACGTTAATTAACGCAGGAATGTTAACTTAAAGCGCTGTTTCCACTCACTATAGACCTAAGCGTTTAGATAGAGTTTATAGGTGTGTTTGTTGCAAAACGCTCTCACGTTCAGATCACATACGATCCTGTCAACTGTTGTCTGAGTTTAGGAGGACTCCATGTGGCACGTGGGGATTGGGGCTATCAGTAATTCTAAGTGAGTCTGGAAGCAGCAGTCGTTTACAGCCACCTCCGTCCCCTTGCCTGGCATCTTTGCTTTCAGATCTATGGCAAGAGAGACTCAGGGACCTCCTTGCACTCTACCCTTGGGCCCACCATCTCCCCAGTTGTCCTCCATACAGCTCAGTGTGTTCCACAGAGTTTCTCTCTTGTGACAAGAACTCCAAAGCCCATGTCTCTCTATAGTGGACAAACCACCTCATCTGGAAAATCTTGATTTTGCTAGAAGACCCTTGCTAGTTTCTATTAGTTGCATCTGAAGCAACTGGTTCTGCTGCATCCTATCTCCTATGCAGCTGGTTCTTGAGCTGATTCTGAAGACACAGTGTCCTACCCTGGAGACCCCAGCCAGGATGATGAAGGCTGCAAGAGACAGGCTTACAATTCTTGACTGTCCAACACAGATAAAGTGCTTTATCTGGCTGGTAAATTAGGTAATCCCCAGAGGAAAGCATCCAGGATGACCAAACTCGTTTAACCTGATTCATGGCTTCCCCCAACAGTACCTGTGGATTGACAGGGTTGCAGCTGACACAGTGATTACTGCTAAGCTTCGAAGTTGAGGTTTGTTGTCTCTGCCCCACAAATATGAACAAAATAATGATGAGGATGATGAAACAGCACTGCCTATAGAAATCTGTAAGATTGGGTTTAAATGAAGAAAGTTAGAGTTTTATTTTTAACTATTTTATCTCCAACACGCATGTGTCTATGTGTATGCAGTCTGGTTTTATTTTCTTTATAATCATGGCTGTTTATCAATGTTTAGGGTCAAGGAGTGAAAAAGAACAGACGGCTTGCCTTAGAGCTGATGAAGAAAGCAGCTTCCAAGGTAACACATGCATGTTGTCAAAGGGAAACAGTGCCACCACACACACCCACACGCTCTCACACATCTAAAAGAGGAAATGGCCAGCCTCCTCCTGCAAAGCCCTAAGGTGGAAATGGGGTGGGGAGCGGTGGGTCGCTGGCCTGGCACCCGCACTGCGGTGGTTAGTCACTTTTAAGTCACAGTACACACAGAAACTTGCCACAATGGGGGCAGCAAAATTCAAAAGCTGAATTCACCTTCCAGTCAATAGCATTCGGGCTGATTTTGTTTGAAGGCTAAAATTATAATCAGGAGCTGCCCTGATAACAAGCAGCGGGATCCCTGGAAAGAGAATGGATATAAATGCCATTGAATTCAGGAAACCAGAAGCCTAACTCCTTTGAAGGTTAACTCTCTGTTGTCTGTTTCCCATTTGTTTCCTGTTCATTGATAACGGGGCTGTTTATCAAGCTTATTGCCTGTTTTGGGAATTATTTTGCTTTTGTCATTATTAACACTTAAGTGGTATCTTCAAGCCGGCTAGTCAGAATGGAATATCTATACAGCTCTACAGAATGGAGGTTATAATGTTGCTTTTGAGGGGCCCACCCACACACGCACACACATGCCCACATATACACACACATGCCCAATGCATGCACAGCTGCATGTGTATACTTATATGTGCACGCATACAGATAGGCAAATAAATAGATCTGCAGAAACTACTATAAATCTACACCTTGATAAGGCACCTTATATCCCTTTTGGCACCTCGATGTGCCTCCCAAGTCTGCCAATATTTGCCTTAATGATGAAGACTCCTAAAATGACCATGCTGATTTTTCTTCCTCATTCTTGGCTCTTGAGGAGTTCAAAGTTTCATACAGGTTGGACGCAGTGGCTCACACCTGTAATCCCAGCACTTTGGGAGGCCGAGGCGCACAGATCACGAGGTCAGGAGTTAGAGACCAGCCTGGCCAATATGGTGAAACCCTATCTTTACTAAAAATACAAAAAAATTAGCCAGGCATCGTGGCGCTCACCTGTAATCCCAGCTACTCAGGAAGCTGAGGCAGGAGAATCGCTTGAACTTGGCAGACGGAGGTTGAAGTGAGCTGAGAGCTGAGATTGCGCTACTGCACTCCAGCCTGGGTAACAGAGAAACTGCGTCTCAAAAAAATAAAAAATATTTAAAAAAAAAAGTTGCATACAGCAGGAGGTTGGAACATGGAATGAGAGAGCTAAAAGATTGTTCCTGCATCTGCGCGTTTTCAAGAGAACAGATGACCCAGGAAGAGGGAAACCCCTGATATGCACCCCAACTCCTGACCCCACACAAACTCTAGGGCAGAAGTAGAAAAGTAACTGCATGGTAGTCATGGAAGTCATTGGTTCCAGAGCACCCTAAAATGGGGCCTGGGGCCATGAGGGGGTTTCCTGGTAGGTGTGAAATTTGTGTCTCTATAGCCTTCCTAGTGGTGTATTGATGTCTAATGGGCTTTATGCTGAATGAATTTTAACAGAGCTTAGGTAAGTAATGAGGAAATACAGTGGGTTGTTTGTTTTGTTTTGTTTTTGAGACGGAGTCTCGCTCTGTTGCCCAGGCTGGAGTGCAGTGGTGCAGTCCTGGTTCACTGCAACCTCTGCCTCCCAGGTTCAAGTGATGCTCTTGCCTCAGCCTTTTTTGTGGCTGGGATTATAGGCACCTGCCACCGCACCTGGCTAATTTTTGCATTTGTAGTAAAGACAGGGTTTCACCATGTTGGCCAGGCTGGTCTTGAACTCCTGACCTGTGATCCACCCGACTCAGCCTCCCAAAGTGCTGTGATTATAGACGTGAGCCACCGCTCCCTGCCAGAAATACAGTTTTATTCACTTGGAATAGTCATGGCCTTAAAAGTGTTATATGGTTCTCATTCTTCACTGCTGTCCCCTTCTGCTTCTTCCCCCCCTAGACCCTGAACCCCCTGTCAGAACTGGGGGTACCATGCAAAGACAGAGCACCTGTGCTGTGCAAGTAGGCTGTTGCTGCTGCTTCCCACCGAGTGCGTGTTGGTGTTCAGGGCAGGGGAGTCAGCAGATGGGCAGGCAGGTCACCTAGAAACCATCCCAGTCAGTGCAGGTTTCAGGCCTCAGTTGAGCACTCAGGAATTTCAGGGGCACTATTGATGTGGCAGGGTAATCAGAGGCCTTTTGTAGACAAGTGTGTTGTGTAAGAGCCCACAGGAGTGGAACAATGATTTGGGGGCCAACATTGCTGCAGAGCTGGAGGACAGAATCCCAGCAGCAGTCAGGTGAAACCCACCTGGGAAGACTCTGAGGCAGGCTTGTGTTTTCTAGCACTTAGCTTGTCTTTAATGCCATCTGCTCCAAAATAGAGAAAGGGAAGGTTTTGTTCAGACTTAGAATGCTTCCACAATGATTGCTTCCAGAGCTCTTTAGATTTCATTTTTCTAAAGTTAATTTCTTTCTTGTTTCAAAATTCAGGGATTGCATCAGGCAGTCAATGGCCTAGGATGGTATTACCACAAATTCAAGAAAAATTACGCCAAAGCAGCAAAGTACTGGTTAAAAGCAGAAGAAATGGGGAACCCAGATGCATCATACAATCTTGGAGTCCTGCATTTGGATGGCATCTTCCCTGGAGTTCCCGGAAGGAATCAAGTGAGTAAGACTTAAGACCCACTCTGCAACTGGTCCGTCACTTGATCCTGAAGCATTTGCTGAAGGTTTACTGTGAGCCCGGCGTGGTAGCGGGTAAAGACACAATCCCAGACACAGTCCCTGTCCTTGAGGAGCTCAGGGGGTCTCCTAGGAAGACAAGATAGTGAAAAGGAAAAGATGGCATCTAGCCAAGTGCCAAGTGTATGGCAAATGGCATGACCCATGGTCTAGAGCCGGGAAACAGTGAAGGCCAGGAAGGCTTCATGGAGGAGGGAGGCTTGAGCTAGAGGGAGGAATGGGAGTTGACACAGGGCAGGAATGAGCATGAGATGGAGCAGAGACTGATCTTGCTAGAAGCAAAGAGAGCTATGTCCAGATAGGATTGCCTGGTGTGAGACCAGCCTTAATAATAATGAAAACACAATGGCAATCTTTAGTGTTGATTAGGCATTTCCTCTGTGCCAAGCACCACGCAAAACACCCTACCATGTGCCTGCTTATGTAATCCTGATTATCCTTTGAAATTGCGATTAATACTCCATTTTTCAGATAAGTGACTGAGGTTCTGCGAAGTTAAGTAATGTAGGGTCACACTCTTAGTGGAGCGAGGACCTGGGCCCTAGTGTACAGTAGAAACCCACTCTATTAATAATAATGTTGATGTAGTACGAATAACCTGAGCTCCATTACTTTTTTTTTTTTTTTGGAGACACAGTCTTGTACTGTCACCCAGGCTGGAGTACAGTGGCACAATCTCAGCTCACTACAGCCTCCACCTCCTGGGTTCAGACGATTCTCATGCCTCAGCCTCCAGAGTAGCTGGGATTACAGGCATGTGCCACAATCCCTGGTTAATTTTTGTATTTTTAGTAGAGATGAAGTTTTGCCATGTTGTCCAGGCTGGTCTTGAACTCCTGGCCTCAAGTGACCAACCACCTTGGCCACTCAAAGTGCTGGGATTACAGATGTGAGCCACTGTGCCCGGTCCTGAGCTCTGCTACATTTAACAAAATGTGGAGAACACCCACCCAGTGCCAGGCACCCTTCTGAACACCAAGGACATAGTAGCAGGCAAATCAGTGCTGCTCTTATAAAGCTTTCATTCCACTAGATGGAAAAGACAATGAACAAATAAATATTTAATAGAAGGGGAGGTGAAGATCAGTGCTTTGCAGAGGAATAAAACAAGTTCAGGACGACTGAGAACGGTGGTTCACACCTGTAATCCTATCACGTTGGGAGGCCGAGGTGGGCAGATCACTTGAGCACAGGAGTTCAAGACCAGCCTGACCAACATGGTAAAACTCCGTCTCTAAAAATACAAGACCTCATCACTAAAAATATAAAAATTAGCCAGGTGTGGCGGTGCATGCTTGTAATCCCAGTCACTCGGGAGGCAGGAGAATCACTGGAACCCAGGAGGTGGAGGTTGCAGTGAGCCAAGATTGCACCACTACCCTCCAGCCTGGGCGACAGAGCAAGACTCCATCTCAAATAATAATAATAATAAATAAAAATTAAAAACAAAATAAACAAAAAATATATAAGTAGAATAAGGGGGTGGAGGTTGGGAAATGCTGCTTTATAAGTGCGACCAGGAAGGCCTCTCTCAGAAGGTGATATTGTATAGAATCCTAAAGGAGTCTTATGGGTATCTGGGGGAAGAACATTCCAGAAGGAAGGAACAGGCAGTGCAAAGGCCCTGAGAAGGAAGCAGGGTTGGTGTGCTAGAGGAGCAGCAGGGAGTCCAGGGGAGTGGAGTGGAAAGAAGGAGAGATGGAGGGTGGTGGATAGGGCCAGGAAGCCGACCAGGTCAATGTGAGGCTCAGTTTCTGCTCTGAGTGAGATGGGAAACCACTGAGCAGTGTTGAGCAGGGCAATGATGAGCTGTATTTTAAAAGGTTCCTCCTGGACCCTGCCTACAAGAGACATGGACAGGAGCAGGGGTTTCATGTGTTGGATCCACATGGGAAGGGGCAGTGGGTGAGACCAGGGCATTGTTAGTGGAGGGGCAGAGATTAGGTTCTACAGGTATTTGGAAGGAGGCAGCAGGATTTGCTGATGGACTGAACATGGGGTGTGAAGGGTGGAGAAGAGTTAGGGATGACTCCAAGGTGTTGGGCATTTGTTGGGTTGGAAGAACAGAAGTGGCGTTTATTGGGAGGGACAAGATTGTGGCAGCAGCAGGTTTGAAGGTAGGAGGGGAAGAATTGGAAGATTATTATTTTTGACGCACTATGCTAAACCTTGAGAATGTGTTATCTCATTTAGTCCTTGCAACAGCCCTTCACTCTAGGTGCTATCTGAAGGCACATTTTTCAGTGGAAGGAAATTAGGTTTGGAGAGATTAACCAACATGCCCAAGTTCACACAGCTAGTAAAAAGTAGAACTGGGATTTGAACCAAGCCTGCCTAACTTCAACACCCATGCTTTTAAAAACAATAGCTAACTGCCTCAGAAAAATAATAATAATCAGTGGAAGTATCCCCATCTACACGTTTGTAGATTTTTTTTCCCTCTACCTGTCTCCATGACATAAGAGGCTGTATATTTTTGTGCATAGCAAATGTGTGCTAACCCTCCCAAGACATCTATGAGTGAAGATTTCTTATTGTTACATTCTAATTCTCACCTTCCTAGTTGAAATGCAGTTCTTGCACCTGAATTTGAAGAAAGGTATTAAGCAAGGTTAGGAAAGCAATTGCCTGGATTTTCACCTGGTGTGACTTCTGGTAGTCTTCTATCTTGCCTGCAGCGGGTTATGTGAGGATCAAATGAGATGGCAACAGTATTCGTAATTACATGTTGTCTTATTTATTGGGTAAACTTAGTCAACAGCATAGCTGAGGCAAGGTCATACATCCCAGAGGCTTGCTTCTATGATTGGATGTCTTCCTGGAATTGTTGCTTGCCCTGGTTTTAAAGCTATCAGAAGTTATAAGCCTGTGATCATATCAGGCTTACAGCATCTCACCACCTTGTCTCCAGTGAAACCAGCCCAGCTAGGATGACTCGACATTTGTTCATCTCTCATTACAGACTTTAGCTGGTGAATATTTCCATAAGGCTGCGCAAGGCGGACACATGGAAGGGACCTTGTGGTGTTCTCTCTACTATATCACAGGCAACCTGGAGACATTCCCTAGAGATCCTGAGAAAGCCGTTGTGTAAGAATCTGCCAAACGTTGCGTTTGAAGGGAAAGCCATATCCTATATTCACTGTGCCTCAGCATTTTTTAAATTGAGTTTTTTATTTTTACCAGTTAGACATGCACGTAGTTTTATACAGCCACATCATTTGACAAGACAAAATTAAAAATTGTAATCAAAAATTTAAAAATAATTTGACAAAGACAAAACGAGAAACCCTTGGCTACCCCACTTCATCCCCCTCCCAGACTCTATTTTCTGCTCCCTAAAATGAATCACTTTCAATCTTTTAATATTTCTTTTACATTTGTCCTTACTTCTAAATAACATGCTTATACCACTATTTCTTGGCATTTTCATCCTAGGCATTGTCTAATGATGTCAAACTGTGAACCATAAAGATGTAGTTTTCTTTCACCCTGCCACCTCCCACTATGCAGCTCATTTACACTTTCTACCATCTTTCATCTTCCTAATAAGTATATTATTTTGGTTCAGTGAGTATCAGGGTTTACATTTTTATGACCATGTAAATGCTATTTCTAGCTGAGCCATGTAGTATACTATTGTTACTTTTTCTTTCTTGCACAACCTTTTCTTTTCTATGAGTTGCTACTTATCTTTTATTGTTTATTTGCTTAGCTCTCTGCATACTTATCATTTTCTGTGTACTTGATGTCCAAATTCTCTTCGAGGTGCCTGAAGTTCCTCTCAGTATGTCCAGACCTATCTACATATTATATTAGTTTAATTTTCTTGGTAACATCTGTCCTGGAGTCTTTGTTCAGGACAATGCTGTCATGCTGAAATTAACTGTCATCATTATGGGTATTTACTTTCCCTCCATCTCTGTCTTTTTTGGTTCTCTTTTTTGCCGGAACCCTTTCTTTCTCCTTCTTGGTCTGCATCTGCATTTTGGTATTAACATATCCGATAGCAGATTCCTGAAGCATGGTCAATGGGAAACACATTTCTGAGGTCTTGCATATCTGAAAAAGTTTTACAGGAGTTGTCAAACCATGATCCATAGATGAAAGGTAGCCCGATTCCTGTTTTGTATGGCTCTAAGAGCTGAGAATGCTTTTTATATTCTTGAGGAGTTACAAAACAAATAAAGAAGGGTATGTAACAGAGATCATATGTGGCCCACAAAGCTTAACACATTTACTATCTTGCCCTTAACAGAAAAATAGTTTGTTGATCTCTGTTTTAGGCCACCCTGACACTGATACCCTGGCTCTCCAAAAGACTGTTCTTCATAACACATTTGGGATCAAATCCAACCTGATCTGACCTTGGTGATAAACTTGACTTAGACTGACTTGAAGTTTTTTGTTATTTAGTATATTTGACATGAATATCCATGTTTCATGGATTTTCTGTTAATCCTCTTGTTACTAATTTCTAGCTTAATTTCACTGTGATCAGAGAATATATTCTGAATGATTCCAATCCTTTAAATTTGTCATACTGTGCTTTATGACTAGTATATGGGTCAATTTTGGTATATGTTTTGTGGCTTCTTGAAAAGAGTATACTTTCTGAACTTGTTGGGTACAACGTCTACATATATCAGTTACATCAAGTCTGTTAATTATATAATTCAGAGCCTCCTCACCCTTTCTGATGCTTCTTTTTCTGCTTGTTACATCAGTTACTGAAAGAAGTCTGTTAAAATCTCCGACTATGGTTGTAGATTTATCTACCTCTCCTTTTAGTTCTATCAATTTTGCATTATATATCTTGAATCTATGTTATTGGATCACATAGATTTAGAATTGTTTTGTCTTTGTAGTTGATCCCTTTATCATTTTACAACATATTCTTTATCTCTGTTGTTGGTTCTTGCCTTAAAGTCTATTTTTTCAGATTATCATATAGTTATACCTAGTTTTAACGTTAAAGTTTATATGATTTATCTTTTTCCATTTTTTTACTTTAAATTTTTCTTCATTCTTTTATTTCAATGTATGTCTCTTGTGAGCAGCATATAATTGGGTGTTTGTATCTTTTAATTTAAAAATTAAAAAAAAATTTTTTTGCATTTCTTAATTTTCATTTTTAATTGGTATATTTAGTCCATTTACATTTAATGTAATTATGGATATATTTGGTTTTAAATAGACCATTTTCCTGTCTATTTTTATTTGTCACATCTGTGGGAGGGTTTTTGTGCCTTTTTAAAATCTCTTTTCTTATTCTTCCTTTGTATTAATCGAGTATTTTTAAAAATTATTACATTTCTCCTTCCATTAGCTTGTTAGTTATGCATTCCTACACTATTAATTTAGAAGTCATAAGTCCAAAGATGATAACAGATTAGGTCATTATTAGTAAACTCCTAATAAATTAGGGTATGAAGCAAAATAGGGAAAACTAATAAGAAGTCAGTAGACATGACTTAGTAGAGCACTAGAACTCTTGGTAGAGATTATATTTTTTCCTATTGGTGGATATATTTCATTTTGTATCTTTCATGTCTTCATTTCCATAAATACAACTCCTAAGCATCATAAGAAAGGGCACTAAATGAAATGCATTCTCTTTACCTTCTTAACATTCAGTTCTGGTTTGTTGCTCTATAAAAATTCTAACTAGCAAAATATTCCCCAAGTGGGATTTATTGAGATCATATGAAGAAAAATGTTCTATTAAATTTGCCACGGTTTGCATATTTTCTCTTCCCTTTTTTTTTTTTTTCAGATGGGCAAAACACGTAGCTGAGAAAAATGGCTATTTGGGTCATGTCATTCGCAAAGGCCTCAATGCCTACCTGGAAGGCTCATGGTAAGCTTGAGACCCACGTTAGAGCAAACGTTTTTCTCTGTCAGTCAGTATAGTCTTATGAAATGGAATCTTAAAATGCAACTGAGAAAGCAATTTGCAAGGAAATCACAGCCTCCCAGTAATGATATTCAGAGTATCATGGACTGATTGGCTGTTGATTGGAAAACATAGCATTTCCGTGTTTAATTATACTCAAAAATTTGTTCTCTAGGGGAATTGTTCACACTCATCAAGTTGAGAGAGATACACAAATACATTGATTTCTCTTTCCTTTAAGCTTGCCCCTCTTGGTTTTAGAGTCTAGAGACAGCAAAGGGGATCTTAGGTGAGACTCCGCTTTTTATTTCCAGGCCCAGAAAGTCCAGAATTTCTGCCTTGTTTCTAGCAAGAAGACAATCAATGTTTAAAGCTCAGGCTACCTCTTCCATAGGTATTTTACTGCATCTGCCATGACTAGGAGCCTGGGATTGCTGGAAGTCACTCACCAGTATCCAATGGCACAACCAAACATGCCTTCCTTCCCAACCTTCTGGTAGAGTTAGCAAATCTCATCTTGTTCTTTATGGGATGAGACATGGCACATGAGGACCCACAAATGTTCCCTGTTTGCTGTACAAATAGATTTTGCAAATCAGGGCCCCTTCTCTTAACTTGACTAGTCTTCTTTCTTTTATTTTTTCTGTCAGTTCTAGCGTTCCATCTTGTTTTAACTTGAGTCACATTTTCTTGGCTGGTTTATTGCCTAACTGATCTGGATATTTCAGTAATAACTAAAAAAAGCCCTCGGTCCACTGCCTCAAAGACATTAGATAAGACCTAGCACTGATCATACTCTGATTTGAACCATAATTTAAAATTCAAGTATAAGTTTAAAAGAACGACATTTTCCCTTTTAGTCCATGGCTGCACACGCAACCAACAGATAGCATCTCAATGAGTGAGAATCTTAAATTAGAGAATGTAGGAGAAATGAGACCAACGAAGAAAGCACCAAATGCACATTTTTATTATCATCATCCTGTGAAAGTTTATTACCTGTGTCCTCACTTTGCACAATCAAAAAGAAATTTTTTCAGAAAGTTACTGTTTCCCCATTGTAAATGTACTTTACAATTTTTGTGATGGTTTATCTTGTTTCTCAAGTGAAAATAAACTCCCAAATTTGACCTTCATTCATTCTCTGCTTCTTGCTCTCACAACCTCCCACCCTCTACTCCCTAAAAACTTCTTAGGATGAACTAAACGTTCAGGTATCAGAGTGTTTATATGTGGGGTCTTCCCAAAGGACGAGCACTCCTGTAAACACTCCTTCCCTACCCACTCCTGCCCCCATGATGTCTGACACCATTTTTCTCAGCGTCTTTGTGTACCTTAGCTTTCTTGCCTACTTCTGTTGTTTTGAAGCTTTTTTGAAGTGAAGTCTCTCTCTGTCACCCAGACTGTGGTGCAGTGGCACAATCTTGGCTCACTGCAACCTCTGCCTCCCAGGTTCAAGTGATTCTCCTGCCGAGTAGCTGGGAATACAGGTGCCCACCACCCCATAACTGGATACTTTTTGTATTTTTAGTAGAGATGGGGTTTCTCCATGTTGGTCAAGCTGGTCTCAAACTCCTGACCTCAGGTGATTCACCTGCCTAGGCCTCCCAAAGTGCTGGGATTACAGGCATGAGCCACCATGCCCAGGCCCTACTTTTGAATGTAATGTCACAAAGCACTTTAACTAGTATATTTTAAAAGCTGCTGTGAAGGGCTAGATGGATTAAGATTCCTGTGGCTTGCTCTCTTGGAATACTCAGCTTCAACGTGGTTTTCTGTTTGGTTGCTTTGTTGGTTGGGTGGTGGGGGGGGACGGAGAAAGGAGACCTGAAGTGTGTCCTACACCCTTTCTGAGTTTGGATTCCGTTCAGCAGATTTTACTGAGTACCCTTAAATGCAGGATACCTGGCCACAAGCTTAAAGAGATGCCTCAAGTAGGGCTTAGGGAAATTTGCTGCCTCATCTCTTCTGCAGGCAGGTTCTCATGTGGCTCCTGATTCTATCTGATCTTTGAGATCTTGGGCTGGCTTTTCCCGCTGCCTAGGAATCTTACCTAACTCCTTACTTCCTTTTGTTCTTCCATGGATCATGATTGCTTTTTATGTGTTGATTGCCCGATGACTTGTATCCCAGTTCCCTGCACACAGGGGTACCCCGATAAGTATTCAGAAACTACTGATTGAGTGAACTAAGGCAAATAGAGGGAATGATTATATGAGCAGTATGTAAAGATCATTGGGGGTACTAAGGAGGAGAAGATGCCTGGTTTGGGAAGCTTGGGACAGCCTTCATGATAGAAGTGATGGATGATGTGGTTTTGAAGGATGCATGGAATTTCCACTTAGCCATTCAGGGAACAGCATTTATGGTGTAGGGAATTGCAGGAACAAAAGCAAAGAGATAGGAAAAATCTAAGTGAGTCTACAAAATATTATGCCATGTGGGTAAAACTTGAGCGGGATATATAATGAAACCAAAGAGATGCTAGCTACTTTATCCAATTTTGAATGGCAGATTATGCATTTGTGAAGCAGCGGGGAGCCATCAATAGTATTTTTATTTAATTTACGAAGCAGTAGGGAGCCATTGATCATTTTGGAGAGCGTAGAGACATGACAGAGGCTGTTTCTAAGATGCTTAATCGAACAGCTGTGTATGGTGAACAGAAGGGAAAGCCTGAAAGGGGAGTTAGTTCAAATACATGCAAAAGGAGCTGAGCATTTGAACAGAAGATGTGGCATGAGTCAGTAGAGTGACTTTTCTGTTCTTTTATCATGTAGTTATTGATGCATATGAGGTATATATGATATATATATACATATATGTGTGTGTATATATATATATAAGTTACAAAGCATGACAATAAAATGAACAACTATAAAGCTACCACTCTACTTAAAAAAAATTACATGGCCAGTACTGGCAAAGCCCCTGCTGTCCCTCCCAGATTAAATTCCATCCTACCCCCAGTTCTAAGAAGTAACCATCCTCCTAGCTTCTCATTGATCTGCCCCTTGCTCTCTTTATATTTTTGCCACATGTGGATATATTCCTAAGCGATGGATTTAGTTTGTCTTATTTCTGACCTTTATATGATTAAAATTGTTTTATATAATATTTAATTCTTCAACTGCTTTTTTTTACTTAACATTATGTTCCTAAGATTCACACATTTTGGCTGGGCACGGTGGCACATGCCTGTAATCCCAGCACTTTGGGAAGCTGAGGTGGACAGATCACTAGAGGTCAGGAGTTTGAGGCTAGCCTGACCAACATGGTGAAACCCCGTTTCTACTAAAATACAAAAATTAGTCGGGCATGATGGTGCACACCTGTAATTTCAGCTACCTGGGAGGCTGAGGCAGGAGAATCACTTGAACTCAGGAGGCAGAGGTTGCAGTGAGCTGAGATTGACCCACTGCACTCCAGCCTTGGCAACAGAGCAAGACTCCCTCTCAAAAACTAAAAAAATGAAAATAAGATTCACATATTTTGATGCACGTACCTGTAGGTCATTCATATTCACTGCTATAAGAGACCACAATTTATTTCCCAATTCTCTTGTTAATTATTTTTGTGTTCTCTTTCTTTTATTTTTTTCTTCTTTTTCTTCCTTTCCTTTTTCCTTTCCCCTTCCTTTTCCCCTTCCCTTCCCTCCTCCCCTCCCCTCCCCTTCCCTTTCTGTTTTTAAAGAGCAATTCAGTCATGAGTATTTGTGTATCTCCTGGGACACATAAAAAGAGTCACTCCAGAATATAAACTTTGGAGTGGTGACTCTGGGTCATAGGGAACACATTCAACCTTACAAGACAATGTCAGTTGTTTTCCTAAGTGGTTTCACCAATTTAGTCTCTTCCCCATCATATATAAATTTGAATTTCTCCATCTCTTTGCCAATCTTGATATGGAAATGAATTATTTTTAAAGCTATGTCTCAGTCTAGATTTGAGGCCTCTTAGTATCAACAGGAAGAAACATTTTGTATCTATTTCAATGGGGAGATCTTCGTCAAAATATATTCGGGGCAAAGTACTTCTATCCATTCCTGCTCTCCAAGCCTTCAAGCCCTCCCCAGGGGTTAAATAGGAGCTAGATGTGAGTTGGCCTCTTCACAGCCCAACATGGTATTTCTTTGGTACCATCCATTCTGCTGTAATAGAACTAAATCATCCGTCAATGTCCCCAGTCCATTCCTTTTTTTTATTTTTGTGTGAGTGAATTTCTTCTATAAGTTATTTTCAAATTACATGTGTCAGTTTGATGAGCTAGTGCTTTTCTGTGTTGTTCCAAGATTTATATGGGATAGTTTAAAAGAGGAGCATGATTAAGAAAAGGGCTTTTTGCTGTATCAGCATTATACCAAAGATAATGTTGTCACGCCTGAGGCTGTCCTCGGACACTAGAAGGAGTTAGCCAAGGAAAGACTAGCTGTCATGTTTCATTTCTCTCTGCCTTACCCATACATGTGTTTTATCTGCAAGCTACATGTTTTATTGTCCTTTGTCTTAAATATACCAAAAATACTTAACCCAGAAGGTTAGCCAGATTATAGAGGCCTTGAGGCAAGGCAAGTAAGATACATTATCTCTAGGTGAAAGAAATTCACCTTTTTGCAATAGAGCTGAGGACCTGAATTCCACTGAGACCCCAGAATTTTTTTTTCAATCCATATAGTCTGAGCTGCTTCAGGCACTGGCAGAAAAGAACACACGGAAAATAATATAATTGTGGAGAAACTGCTCAGGGGTACTCAAATTTTAATTCGCAGCAAGCAGCCAAAGGATTGATTATTAAGATGTATCATTATAAAAATTCTAGAAATGCATGCACTGGGTCTGAAAGGAGGATAGCAAGTGTGTCTTAAATTCTTTCTTTTCTCTCAGTCCCTTCCTCTCTGCACCCGTTCCCCTCTCCCTGTCAAAACGACTGTCTAGGGGACAATTTTACTTGAGTGCATTGGAAATAAAGCTTGAAGTTCTGACTGACTTCCTAAAGCTTGAGGAAATTCGAGGAAGGACAACAGTTTTGTAGCTTGTCTTTGGTTTCCTGCAACTAAAAAGTGCTGAGTAAATGTTTGTTCAATGAATCTAAGTGTAGGAATATCTGTAATTAATCTTTTCAGATGATGTCTGTTGGAACACAAGTAAGAGCAAAGTGCTGAATGTGGGTAACAGGGCTCTGCAGAGACGTTGTCTCAGAAGTTTCAGTAAACTGAGGAAATCTGGTCTTGAGTGGCCAGCCGCCACCTGCTGCTCAGTAAATGTGAAAATGGATGGTGGTGGTACAGGCATCAGGCGATTGATTGTCCAAGATGAAAGACAGAGGTGGATTTCTTTTTTGAGACCAGAGTCTCACTGTCTTGCCCAGGCTGGAATACAGGGGAGCGGTTCTTGGCTCACTGCAACCTCTGCCTCCTGTGTTCAAGTGATTCTGCTGCCTCAGCCTCCCAAGTAGCTGGCATTATAGGCGCCCACTACCACGCCTGGCTAATTTTTGTATTTTTAGTAGAGATGGGGTTTCACCATGCTGGCCAGGCTGGTATCAAATTCCTGGCCTCAGGTCATCTGCCTGCCTTGGCCTCCCAAAGTGCTGGGATTAAAAGCATGAGCCACTGTGCCCAGCCCAGAGGTGGATTTCTGTTCGGTGCTTCTGTGGATATCACATAACTTTTTAGGAATCTCTTTCTGGTGGATTTCAGGGCTTCCTCAATGGAAACGCTTGAGAATTCTATGCCATTTCCTCCTGGCTTACACAATGATTGGACAATAGAAGTCTTCTATAAAACTTGTTCCTCCCTTCCTTCCCCACCATGCAGATCACTTTAGACACAAGATATTATCTTTATGAAGCTTATCATTGGAAATGTTCTTGCAGGGAGTGTCAACCACCATTTCCCCCACCCATTCTGACAACCAGCCTACTGGCTTCTGCTGTTGAGAAAAAATTCTCTTTTTGTTTTTTGGAGACAGTCTGGCTCTATCACCCAGTCTGCAGTGCAGTGGCGGGATCTTGGCTCACTGCAACCTCCCACTTTCGAGTTTGAGTGATTCTCCTGCTTCAGCCTCCTGAGTAGCTGGGATTATATGCCACTATGCCCAGCTAATTTCTTTTGTATTTTAGTAGAGATGGGGTTTTACCATGCTGCCCAGGCTGGTCTTGAACTCCAAAACTCAAGCGATCCTCCCGCCTCGGCCTCCCAAAGTTCTGGGATTACATTTGTGAGCCACCGTGTGCCCGGCCAGAAAAACAACTGATTTTGTTACATTTTAGTAAACACGAGTCACATGCCAACTAGTTATGGTCACAGAGGGCACGGGCCCAATAAGTGACCTTGGTGTACAGGTCTATACCGTCTCCTTTCGTCATCAATCCCTGGTGGAAACTGAGACACTAGTGCAGGCTGGAGTGTCTCTGAAGAAACATGAGAATTCTAAGACCTTAGGAACAGGACCTCGTGTCAGACTGAGGGGGACTTTCTGTTGGGCCTCCCTGGCCTGCCTTCTGTCTGGGATCTTGCGTCTGCTCTGAGGATTCTTATAGCCAAACATAGATTTTGCAGGCTATGTTAGCAAATCCCCAAGGTTTCTTTGGGATGTTGTAGCAGCTGCACCTTGGGGCTTGTTATCTGGCTTGCCTCTGCACGGGACACTGCTTAGCTGACCTTGTCCCTCTTTAGCCTGAGTCATGGCTAATTGGTCAGCTGCCTTAGGTATCTCGGAGGCTGCGAATTGGCTCACTCAGCAGCCACGTGGCCTGTGGCCTGCATTATGTTTGACTGAAGGTCTAACTATCTTAATTTGATCCCCAGTACCTCTCGGCCTCCAAGGGATTGCCTGCCGGAAGCTGCTTTCAGCAGTTTCGAAAAGATGATTTCAGAATCTGCTTCCCTTACTCCCCCTCACCCAGTCTTTCCCCACTGTTTCCTAAACCAGTTCCTAGGTGGAGCTAAAATTGCAAAAGAGTTATTAATATCAACTCCTTAAAATGAAAAATACGCTTTAAGAGACTACTTATGGTTAAAATAAGAGTTTTATTCTTAAGCTGGGTAATGTATTAAAAAAAATTGAGAGAATCAGATAAGTAAAAAGAATAGAATAAAAATTACCTGCATTCTCACTACCTAGAAATAAGTATTATTAGTATTTTGGTGTTAAGTTTTTGGGTTTTTTCCTCTGCCTGTTTGTAGCTGCATGTGTATGTGTGTGCATGTGTGTGATCAGTTTTATTTTTGTTTTGCAAAAATAGGATGCATTATTTTATACCCTGCTTATATTTTCACTGAATGGAAAATTTCGCATGAATATTTTGCTATGTTTTTCAGTACCCTTCCACACGTCATTTTAGTGGCCATGTCTGAAAGTGGCTGCAGTGTGGGTTAACTTCACTAGTCTCTGATTTTCAAACGTTTAAATTGTTTTCAGTTTTTTTGTTGTTGCTCATATAAATAGCTCTACTATGAACTCCGTGGCAACAGAATCTTTGTAGGTATCTCTGATTGTTTCTTTAGAATAAACCCCCACAAGGGAGAACTGTAGGGCCAAATGGTACACATGTTCTTAAGTCTCCTCCTGCCTGTCCTTCCAGAACTGTGGAATTAATTGGCCCTCAAGCTGGCAGTAGTTGTAGAGTATGTCCATTTTCCCAAGCCCTTGCCATTATTCTGTTTATGAATCTAGTATCTGATTTTTCAGCAGATGAAAAGGGGTCACTCGTTCTTTTGCGATTATTCGATTCCTAGTGGTGTCGAACGTTTTTCTCATATGTGTTTTGGCCACTGATATCAAGTCCCTTGTAAACTGCCTCTCCTTTGCCAAACTTCTAATGCACAACAAAAGCTCAGCTTTAATTAAGCTCGTTCAGAATCCTAAGCCCTGTAAAGCCTTTCATGAAACAGAAGACTCCAAAGCACAGGGTTTTTTCTTAATACTACTTATCCCTTCTAAGCGAGGATGGAAGGATTCAAGGACTGAAGGCTAGTAGACAGCTCCCCTGCCAATATCTGACATACCCTTCAGCCAGTAGAGGTAGCTGTTGCATCAACTAGCTCCCCAGCCTTATCTGTGAGTTCAGCCTTTAAGACAGAAAATAAATCAGTGCATGCAGTATTTTTAACAATATTTATTTCTTAAAAAAAACTCATGATTTTGTGGTTTTTTTAAAAAACTGCTTATTTTGTGCCCTCTTATGTTTGAATATAAAGCTCTCTGAATATTAGAGCCACTGTATGAAATTTATTATTAATCATCTATTTTTAGGCATGAAGCTTTGCTGTATTATGTTTTAGCAGCAGAAACTGGAATTGAAGTGTCGCAGACAAATTTAGCACACATCTGTGAAGAGAGGCCGGTAAGTAAATGTATTCTTCTCAGAGTGGAAGCTCTGAGGTTGAGGATAATGAATTGGGTTTTAAGGAGGCAATGTTGGTCACTTGGCCGAAATATTAACGAATTAACTTCTTCTTTCCTTTACCCCTTAGGACCTGGCCAGGAGATACTTGGGTGTTAATTGTGTTTGGAGATACTATAATTTCTCTGTTTTTCAAATCGATGCTCCTTCCTTTGGTATGTACAGAAAAACAGGTGCAAAACTGAACCATTAGAGATTTTTAATCTTTATGAATAGGGAATATCTAACAGATTTGTTTGAGTGAGGTATTTCTAAATGATTAGAAAAGAAAGTGAAAAATCTCGCTATTAAGATTGCTAAACTCTGCTCTCAGCCTCACGTAATGCACTACTCCTTGCCCATTGTTCCATGGAGCACTTGGACCCAACATTTCTTATTTTTTTATTTTTATTTTTTTTTTGACAGTCTCACTCTGTTGCCCGGGCAGGAGTACAATGACATGATCTCAGCTCACTGCAATCTCCGCCTCCCAGGTTCAAGTGATTCTCCTGTCTCATCCTCCCGAGTAGCTGGGATTTCAGGCGCCTACCACCACGCCCAGCTAGTTTTTATATTTTTAGTAGAGATGGGGTTTCACCATATTGGCCAGGCTGGTCTCAAACTCCTGGCCTCGGGTGATCTGCCCACCTTGGCCTCCCAAAATGCTGGGATTATAGGTGTGAGTCGTTGCACCTGGGCCGCAGCATTTCTTCTGAGTCAATGAAAATGTAAAAAGAGAATGCTATTATGGAGCAATTCTCTGGGCCAGTCATTTGTCTGGATTCCACTGCCCTGCTCTGCATGGTAGGTGGCTGGCCTCCTGGAACTACAATTCCCAGACTCATCTACCTACGGGCTTCTGATTCCTTTCAGGCAATAGGAAGCTCTGGCAAAAGATTACAGGATGGGAGAAGCCCAAGTCCTTCTTCCCTTCTCTCTCTGCTTTGGACTGTGTCTCTGGCAGTGGCTACATTTCCATGGTTCCAGCCCCTGCCTGGCAGCTCCACCCTCTTTAGTCTCAGCTGTCACCAGGCTCTGAGTCTCTAGTAACATTGTAGGCACCTTGTGGCCTCAAGTCCTGAGGATGATAGTAGCCTTCTCACTGCTCATCTCTGGGTTGCCTATTATTTTCCATTTGCCTTTTCAGCTCTCCCAACACCCTAGTAGCTGCTTTCCCATGATGAAATTCCTCTTTTGAACTACCTGAAATGGATTATGTTTTCCTGATTGAACATTGACTAATACATGCACTTTTTTTTTTTTTTTTGAGATGGAGTCTTGCTCTGTTGACCAGGCCAAAGTGCACTGGCATGATCTCAGCTCGCTGCAACCTCCACCTCCCAGGTTCAAGCAATTCGCCTGCCTCAGCCTCCCAAGTAGCTGGGATTATAGGCACGCACCACCACACCTGGCTAATTTCTGTATTTTTTAAAAAATATAGATGAGGTTTCCTCATGTTGGCCAGTCTGGTCTCAAACTCCTGACTGCCAGTGATCCACCTGCCTCAGCCTCCGAAAGTGGTGATATTACAAGCATGAGCTACCATGCCTGGCTGATACATATATGCTTAAACACAAGTTTTCCCCAGAGGAAAAATAAAATACATGGCTAAAGCAAAGAGTTACCAGCAACAGACATCAAAGATGAACAGCAAAATTTCAGAAGTGAAGTAAAGCACCAAAAACAACCTTGGCTGATTGGGCTGCAAGGTTGTAGACAGATCTGCACGAACAGAACTATTCAGGAGAGCTACCTGGCCAAATAAGAAACTGTGTCTAGCGGCCAGATGCAGTGTCTCACACCTGTAATCCCAGCACCTTGGGAACCTGAGATGGGAGGACTGCTTGAGCCCAGGAGTTTGAGACCAGCCTGGACAACATGGCAAAATGCCGTCTCTACAAAAAATACAAAGATTAGCCAGGCATAGTAGGACACTCCTGTAATCCCAGCTACTTGAGAAGCTGAGGTGGAAGGATCACTTGAGTCCAGGAGGTCGAGGCTGAAGTGAGCCCTGATCTCACCACTGTACTCCAGGCTGGGCAACAGAGACTGCCATATTGCAAAAGGAAGGAAGGAAGGAAGGGAGGGAGGGAGGGAGGGAGGGAGGGAGGGAGGGAGGGAGGGAGGGAAGGAAAAAAAGAAAGGAAGGAAGGAAAAATATGTCTAGAAATAGGCTTTCTCTGGGTAAAAAGCCCTTTTCTTGTTTCTCTTTTGACACATCAGGGAAACATAAAAATGTGCTGTATTCAGATACTAGCACGAAAAACTCATTCATGTGACTGGGCCAATAATTTAAAATGTTGGTGTGAAAAAAAACTACTCGATAAATAGATCTGTGCTTTATGTCCTGCAGCATATTTGAAGATGGGGGACCTTTACTATTACGGCCACCAAAACCAGTCACAAGACCTGGAGTTGTCTGTGCAGATGTACGCCCAAGCTGCCCTGGATGGAGACTCCCAGGTAAACAGCAAACACAACAAAAACCAGCACTTGGCTGGGCACGGGGGCTTATGCCTGTAATCCCAGCACTTTGGGAGGCCGAGGTGGGTGGATTGCTTGAGGCCAGGAATTCGAGACCAGCCTGACCAATATGGTGAAACCCCGTCCGTCTCTACAAAAATTAGCTGGGTGTGGTGGTGCTTGATTGTAATGCCAGCTACGTGGGAGGCTGAGACCAGAGGATTTCTTGAGGCTGTCAAGTTGAGGCTGCAGCAAGCCATGATTGTACCATTGCAGCCTGGGTAACAGAGCAAGACCCTGTCTCATTAAAAAAACCCAGCTCTGCCGGGTGCGGTGGCTCACGCCTGTAATCCCAGCACTTTGGGAGGCCAAGGTGGGAAAATCACAAGGTCAGGAGATCAAGACCATCCTGGCCAACATGGTGAAACCCTGTCTCTACTAAAAACACACACACAAAAAAATTAGCTGGGCTTGGTGGTACACGCCTGTAGTCCCAGCTACTCGGGAGGCTGAGGGAGAATTGCTTAAACCCAGGAGATGGAGATTGCAGTGAGCCGAGATCGAGCCACTGCACTCCAGCCACATCCATTTGTGAACTCGCAAAACCAGAATTCTTCCTAACAGTCCTTTCTGTCTCCATACACTGCACAGTTTACAAAGGCTTTGTTCATCCATTTTTCACATGCCCCTCACAACAACTCTATGAGAACACTAGCCATAAGGGTGAGCCTTTATTAAACACCTGCTATGTCCCCTACACCATTCCCACACAATCCTGTGGGGGTGGGGATTATTACACCTGATTCATAGTCAAAGGTAACGAATTATTCAAGGCCAAATAATCAGATGGTAAGCAAAGTGGCCAGAGCCTAAACCTGGGTCTTTAGCTCCAAACAGAAGGGTGTTTCTGCCAAGTCGCATCAAACTCACCAGGTAGAAACTTGAGAAATTAGAAGTGCCCTGCAATAGGAAGTGATTTGCTTGTACTGTTGGGCCATGCTTCAGCGACAGTTTTTCTCTCAGTGATTTTTTTGGAAACTTCTTTTGATTTTTGAGACGGAGTCTCCCTCTGTTGCCCAAGTTGGAGTGCAGTGGCACGATCTTGGCTCACTGCAACCTCTGCCTCCTGGGTTCAAGTGATTCTCCTGCCTCAGCCTCCCAAGGAGATGGAACTAAAGATGCCCACCACCATGCCCGGCTAATTTTTGTAATTTTAGTAGAGATGGGGTTTCACCATATTGGCCAGGCTGGTCTCGAACTCTTGACCTTGAGATCCACCCACCTCAGCCTCCAAAGTGCTGGGATTACAGGCATGGGCCACTGTGTCCAGCCAGAAACTTATTTGAAACTCATGTTAGATTTATTTAAAAGAGGTGAGAGTTCCTGTATACCCTTCATTCAGCGTCCCCCGATGCTCACATCTTTCATAACCACAATGCCATTGTCAGACTAAGATATTCATGTTGGGAAAGTATTGTTAACTACACTTCAGACCTTATATCGATTTCACCAGTTTTCCACTAATATCCTTTCCTGTTCCAGGATTCAATGTAGGATCCCACATTAGATTGAGTTGTATGTTTCTCTCCAGTCTTCTTCAGTCTATGACAGTTCCTCAGTCTTCTTATATTCATCACCCTTAAGACTTGAAGAATACTTGTTGGGTAGCTTGTAGAATGTTCTTTGATCTGGGTCTGTTTTCTGTTTTCTCTTGAATAGATTGAGTTTATACATTCTGGGCAAGAGTTTTGCCTATTAGGATTATTACCATGGTGTTCTAATGATGATTCTCAATTTCCCTTATTCCTTCTACATTTGCTATTTGGAATTCTCTTGGGAGGACCTCTGGATCATTTTCATGACAGAAGTTGGGATAGTTGTTAACCCTCTTCTGCAGCAGGTTTCTGGTGTCGTGCTTTAGAGTCTAATCACAGAGCAAAAGTTGGAAACTCGTCCCTGTATCAATCTTTGATGGGATTTTGTTGTTGCTACTGTTTTGTGGGTTGTTTTGAGACAGGGTCTCACTCTGTCACCCAGGCTGGAATCCAGTGGTGCAATCTCAGCTCACGCAGCCTCCATCTCCCAGGCTCAAGCAATCCTCCTACCTTAGCCTCCTGAGTAGCTGGGACTACAAGTGCATCTAGAGATGGGGTTTTGCCATGTTGTCCAGGCTGGGCTTGAACTCCTGGGCTCAAGTGATCTGCCTGCCTTGGCCTCCCAAGGTGCTGGGATTCTAGGCATGAGCCACTGTGCACGGCCAATCTTTGTTTTCTTAATGGCAGTACAACATCATAGTGGTCGTGTACTTGGGTTAAAATCCCACATCTCTCTCACTCCAGCAAGTCTCTGAATCTCTGAAATGAGATTCTAGTGTTCTCATAGAGTTGTTGTGAGGGGCATGTGAAAAATGGATGAACAACGCCTTTGTAAACTGTGCAGTGTATGGAGACAGAAAGGACTGTTAGGAAGAATTCTGGTTTTGCGAGTTCACAAATGGATGTGGCTGGAGTGCAGTGGCTCGATCTCGGCTCACTGCAATCTCCGTCTCCTGGGTTCAAGCAATTCTCCCTCAGCCTCCCGAGTAGTAAGAGCATCTGCCTCCTAGATTGTGAGAATTAAATGAGATTTGGTGTAAAGCTCTAGTCCTACCACGGCTTAGACCATGATTAGTGGTGGGGGCAGAAGATTAAAAGATAGATTATACTCTTGCCTACATGGGACTTATAATCTACCTGGGAAGACTTGGAGGTGGTTTCCTCTCGTATTGGAATTATAGCTAGTGCTACAATGAATATTTTCTTATTTCCATCTTTTCTTTTAGTTTGAATAAAAGAAAAGTTTCCCTTATAATCTGAGAAATAGCATTATTGAGTCAGACAGTCTAAATGGTTTTATGAGGCTGGGCGTGGTGGCTTATGCCTGTAATCCCAGTACTTTGGGAGGCGGAGGTAGGCGGATATTTGAGGTCAGCAGTTTGAGACCAGCCTGGCCAACATGGCGAAACCCCATCTTTACTAAAAATACAAAAATTAGCTAGGTGTGGTGGCATACGCCAGTAATCCCAGCCACTTGGGAGGCTGAGGCAGGAGACTCTCTTGAACCTGGGAGGTGGAGTTTGCAGTGAGCTGAAATTGCACCACTGCACTCTAGCCTGGACAACACAGAGAAACTCCATCTCAAATAAATAAATAAATAAATAAATAAATAAATGGTTTTATGACTACATGATAACACGCTGCCGTTTTGCTCTCTGAAAGGGCTTTCCATTGACTACCTCACAGATCAGTGGTTGAGTAAAGAAGGATGACTGAAATCTTACCAGCAACTGGATACTTTCATGATTTAATTTTGCTAATTGAATAATGACATGTTGATAACTTTCTTACTATTTTTAACTTGCATTTATTTAATTACTAGTGACAATGGGCACTTTTACATATACTTGTTTATGATAATTTACTTTTCACATGTTCTTTTCTGTAAATTCTCTATTCTTATTCTTTGCCGGTTTTTCTATTGGAATTTTGGCACTTTTAAAAATTGAAACCATAATTAGTTCTTTATATATTTATCTAGTAGATGATGAACTTTAAGCTTTTACATTGCATACAACTATTCTCCTACTCTCTCTCCATTATTCCATTGATTAGAGACTTTAAAATTTCATAAAGCCATTTTTCTCTTTTCTTTTAATACCTCAAGTTTTAACAGCGCCTTCCTTTCAAAGAGTGGAGAAGTAGTCTATTTTCTTCTGTTGTGTGAGTGTGTGTGTGTGTGTGTGTGTGTGTGTGTGTGTGAATCTTCAAAATACTTAATGCTTCATCTATTTAGAGCTTATTCTTGGCACCTGATAGAGTCTAAGATTTGAGACTCTGCACCCTTTCTGCTTGTGTTTGACTCCCCAGCTCTGCCACTTCCCAACTGTGTTACTTTGGGCAAGTTGTTTAACCAGTCTGTGCCTCAGTTTCCTCATCTATAAAATAGGGAGGATAATATTACCTATATCAGTTTGTTGTTATAAGGGTTAAATGAATAAATATAAAAACAACAATGCCTTGCTTATGGCAAGCATTCAACCTGTGAGCTGCTGGTATTTTTCATCATGATTGCTACATATGATGGTTGTGAAAGTCGTGGATTATGCACCTGGTAGTGATGATTTTCATTTAGATTGTTGTCAGAGGCAACTAAGAAGCAAGGTCAGAGGGAAGATAAAAGCCATTAGATGTGATCTTGTCATTAGAGAAGCACAAGTCAAAACTACAATGAGACACCATCTCACACCAGTCAGAATCCTTATTATTACAAAGTCAAAAAATAACAGGTGCCAGTGAGGTTGCAAAGAGAAAAACACTTATGCACTGTTGGTGCGAGTGTAAATCAGTTCAACCATTGTGGAAGGTAGTGTAGCAATTCCTCAAAGCCCTAAAAACAGAACTCCCATTTGGCCCAGCAATCCCATTGCCGGATATATACCCAAAGGAATATAAATCGTTCTGTTATGAAGACACATGTACATGTATGTTCACTGCAGCACTATTCACAGTAGCAAGGACATAGAATCAACCTAAATGCCCATCAACAGTAGACTGGATAAAGAAAATGGAGTGCATTACACTGTGGAATACTATGCAGTCATAAAAAAGAATGAGATCCTGTCCCTTGCAGGAACATGGATGGAGCAGGAGGCCATTATCCTTAGCAAACTACGCAGGAACAAAAAACTAAATACCACGTGTTCTCACTTAGTGGGAGCTAAATGACGAGCACACATCGGCACAGACAGGGGAATAACAGACACTACCTGAGGGTGGAAGCTGGAAAGAGGTGGAGGAACAGGAAAAATAGCAAACAGGTACTAGGCTTAGTACTTGGGTGACAAAATAATATGTGCAACAAACCCCCATAACACGTAACAAAATAATCTATATGACGAACCTGTACATATACCCCTAAAGTTAAAATAGAAGTTAAAAACGAAACACAAAAAACGTGATCCTGAGTTCTTTCAAGGGCAACAATCCAGTTTAATTGGTCAAGCCCTAATGGTAAGTCCCCATTGCTGTCTGCTTGTTTCTTGATCTAGCCACATGGTAGGCTCATGACCGAGGGTGCACATTCTCCAGGCAGTGTCATAGTACACATCCTTTATGAAGCATGTCTACAGTCAGGCCCTCTAACTGCGTTTATTTTATTGGATCCGTACAGCCCAATAAGGCAGTTCCTACCTCTAAGTATCAAGAATAGTGTCAGAGGGAGAGGCAGGAAAATATTGCCACAGTGGAGATCTGTGCCCAGAGGAGTCATGAGAAGAGGTTTCTGCACCAGCCTAGGAAAGCTGAGATAGTGTCCTTAGGTGATCCTGTGCAAGGGAGCCATGTTGGGATGTCAGTCATGGGAAGCAGCCCTGGCCACAGAAATATTTTGTCAGATTTCCCGCAGGGCTGTGCCAACCTAGGGCATAGTCTGTAAGTGACGGACATGGCGTTCAACTCGGTTTGACTGGTTTTATGATACAAGGGCGCGTTTTCCAGTAAGTTCTCTTTTGAGAGAGTGAGCGAGAAAGGACAGATCTCCCGGTTGACTGGCTTCGGAGCAGATGGGACACAGCAGCTTCTGAAAGCCTCCTGGTTCTCCTGCAAATAAATTTCTCAGATGCATGTATTTAGGGAAACAATTCATCAATGAAGATGACAAAACCATCTGGCTGTAGAGACTGAAAAAAAATTTTAGAGGTTGTAAACGTTTACATTCTGATGAAGAGTGTGTGTCGAGGTTTTATTTCAAGGAGTTGATGAGTTTGGTTTATGGCTTGTTTTTAGGGATTTTTTAACCTGGCCCTGCTAATTGAGGAAGGTACTATAATCCCACACCATATCTTGGATTTCTTGGAAATTGACTCAACTCTCCATTCTAATAACATCTCTATTCTCCAGGAACTGTATGAAAGGTGAGCTCAGAGCCTCTAAAACTGTGGAATCTGGGGAACCCAAGTAGATGATGTTTGCTTCTTGGTTGAAGTTAGCTTTACCCTTATTTTGTAATGTAAACTGTGATTTAAAAGGAAAAAAGCAAGGCCAGGCATGGTGGCTCACACCTATAATCCCAGCACTTTGGGAGGCCAAGGTGGATGGATCACCTGAGGTCAGGAGTTCAAGACCAGCCTGACCAATATGGTGAAACCACATCTTTACTAAAAATGCAAAGATTTAGCTGGGTGTGGTGGTGGGCACCTGTAATCCCAGCTACTCAGGTGGCTGAGGTAGGAGAATCATTTGAACCTGGGAGGTGGAGGTTGTGGTGAGAGGAGATCTCGCTACTGCACCCCAGCCTGGGCAACAAGAGCAAAACTCCGTTGAAGAAGAAGAAAAAAAGGCAGGGCGCCATGGCTTGTTCCTGTAATCCCAGCACTTTGGAAGGCAAAGGTGGGCAAATCACTTAAGGTTAAGAGTTCGAGACCAGCCTGGCCGACATGGCGGAATCTCAGCTCTACTAAAAGCAGAAAGAAAGTAAAAGAGAGAGAGAAAAGAGGGAGGGAGAGAGGGAGGGAAGGAAAGGGAAGAAAGGGAAGGAGGGAGGGAGGGAGGGAAGGGTGAGCCCAGGATTTGCCTCTATTGGAAAACATTCAGCCAGATCCTGCATTTCTCTTCTCTACTATCTGAAGTTTAAGATATAGAAGGCACTTGACCTGAAGATCAGGGACCAACCAAAACTTTCCATGAGAATGGAAAGAATAACGCATCTCATTAGCCCATGCTTTTCTGTTGTTTGTTTGTTTTGAGACAGGACCTCGCTCTGTCACGCAGGCTAGAGTGCAGTGGTGTGATCTTGGCTTACTGCAACCTCTACTTGTTGGGTTCAACCTGTACTTCTTGGGTTCAAGTGATTCTCATGCCTCAGCCACCTGAGTAGCTGGGATTACAGGCACGCACCATCACACCAGGCTAATTTTTGTGTTTTAGAGACAGGGTTTTACCATGTTGGCCAGGCTGGTCTCAAACTTCTGGCCTCAAGTGATCCACCTGCCTCAGCCTCCCAAAGTACTGGGATTACAGGTGTGAGCCACCATGCCCAGCCTAATTAGCCGATACCTTTTTGAAAGATAAGGAGGCATTCCTACATCTGTACTTTAAACAGAAATGCTGTTCGGGCAGGTCCTGTGCTTCAGCATTCTGGGTAACTTTTATTTATTTTTAAAATGTTGTTGTCACCACAGCAGAACAGACTTGACTCTTAATTAAGGACAAAACTGACCTTCTTCTAAGATTTCTACTGGAATTCTAGAATTTCAGATCAGGCCAAACCGCTCATTTGGCCACTGGCTTTATTTCTTTGTCTCATCTTTGTCAGTTGAGTGTGCACACATTTGTCCAAAAGCAGAAGAATGTAGGTTTGTGGATCTGAAAATGCCAGTCGTGAGCTGTGCCACCAAGGTTGGCGGACATGTCAAGATGCCCTGGGCTTTGTCTGCAGGTGCTGGAGCCACAGTAACGAGGAGTCCTTCAGTCCCTGTTCCTTGGCCTGGCTTTACCTGCACTTGCGGCTTCTCTGGGGCGCGGTCCTGCACTCAGCTCTGGTAGGTTTCATCTCCCTGCCGGCCCCGCCCTTATGGTCCCTGCTCATTGTCAGTCACTAATTCTTGCTTCTGATGTTTGCAGATCTATTTTCTGGGAACCTTTCTCCTGTCCGTATTGATCGCCTGGACTGTGCAGTATTTCCAGTCTGTCTCAGGTAAAGATTTATAAAAAGCCAAAGCAGTATAAAAAAGCAGGGAATTTTTTTTTGTCTACCAGAAAAATCATGTTTTCCCTCCCAGTGCTATTGGTCATGCTATCTCCTATCCCTAGGGTGGTCTTCACGGGGTGGGAGTCCTTCTAGAGGTGTATGAAACTCCTGGCTGGTGGAAGGCCACAAAGTTACTATTGTATTTTTTCAAAATAAGGATTTTTTCTTTCTTTCTTTCTTTTTTGAGATGGAGTCTCATTCTGTCGCCCAGGCTGGAGTGCAGTGGTGCAATCTCAGCTCACTGCAACCTCCGCCTCCCGGATTTAAGTGATTCTCCTGCCTCAGCCTCCTGAGTAGCTGGGACTACAGGTGCACGCCACCACATCCAGCTAATTTTTGGTTTTTTTTGGTAGAGATGGGGTTTCACCATGTTGGCCAGGCTGGTCTCGAATTCCTGACCTCAGATGATCCACCTGCCTCGACCTCCCGAAGTGCCGGGATTAAGGTGTGAGCCACCCAGCCTCAAAATAAGGATTTTCTTTAAAAAGCTTAAGAAACTGAACGAATACAACTTCTCCCATTGAAAATATATCTATTGGAATTCTAGCTCTGTGTGTCTGAAAACACAGCTCCAAAGCCCCTGGCAGCATGAAGTCTTCCTGTTCATCTCAGTCAAACAATCAAATGTGTAAGAGGATAAACACTCGTAATGAATAAGAATCCTCAGCCACACGGACTCAGAGGGAGGGATGGGGCAGGAATTATAAAGTGGGCATTTCGTTTCACATGGTTTCCACTGATCACAGTTATTTTTCCGAGTTAGTATAGAATAGCAGTTAAGTACCAGGGAGTCCTAGTTACTTTTATTTGGGCTTAGAGTCCAGGCTTGGTTACTCATTAGCTTACGACTCATGGCAAGTTACTTAACCTTCCTGATCCCCGAATTTCTCATCAGTACAATGAGCTTATGAGAGTAGCTACTTCTTAGAAATATGAAATGAAAAAATATTAAGTGAAAAAAATGCACATAAGACACTTATGAAAATGACGACTATAGTTAAACCTTAGCTATTATATTTATCTGGCATATAAAACCTTCCCAGTGAATGTTAGCTCTTACATTTATCTCCTCTATTAGACCATAAGCTGAGCCAGAAGAAGACCCCAGTCGTGTCATTTGTGATAACTCATGCCTAGTAGGTACTCACACCCACAAATGTCTCTGGTCTCTCAAGAAACAAGAAAACTGATTTTTCCCCATCTCGGACAGCTACAAAAGAATATAATAACTCGTGAAGGCAAATAGAGACATTTACAAATGGATAGATTAGGACCGGACATGGCAATGGAGCATTTGCTTAGCTGTTATTTGTGTAGCAGATAATGAAAAGTGACGGGTGCACGTCACCTTCTCTTCCACGGTGAGAGGGAAGTCACTGTTGAGAGAAGCTAATGCGGATTCATTTCTCTCTGATTTACCTGAGGAGGTTAACAGGGAACCATCAAAACCTTCCAGGCTTGATGCCCCGTAGCCTGCTGGTTAATAAACTTCACTCATGCAAATTCTGTCCCGTTCCTAAATTTGGGGCCAGGTATCGTCATTTATTTTGCATCTTGTCAGCATTTTCCATTTCAAATTATCTTTGTCATTTTTACTCTGTAGAAATATTGTGATGATTATTACAAATGCAATTCTGTTAGAGGAGCTGAAATTTGTCTTTATGATTTTATGCCAGCTGGTAGCCATGAAAATTCATGGGCGGGTGGAATTGCTCAGATCAGAAGACATCTCTCATCTCTGTCTCCATGCCTCCATTATCAGTCTCTCCACATTCTTGTCTCCGTGTCTCTCCTGTCCTGTGAGGTTTTGCTCTTCCTGTATCCCCACCATTCTTTCATACATTTTCTTCGTGTTTCTCAAACTTTTTCCATTATTTTCTCCAGCACATACCTACTTCCTTCTTGATCAGCCTAAAGAAGGCTTTGTCTGGATAGGATCATAAAAATTATTTAATTAGCCAGGCACGGTGGCTCATGCTTTTAATCCCAGCACTTTGGGAGGCCAAGGCAGGTGGATCATGAGGTTAGGAGATCGAGACCATCCTGGCCAATATGTCGAAACCCCGTCTCTACTAAAATACAAAAAACTTGCCGGAGGTGGTGTGTGCCTGTAATCCCAGCTACTCAGGAGGCTGAGACAGGAGAATCGCTTGAACTCAGGAGGCAGAGGTTGCAGTGAGCCAAGATCGTGCCACTGCACTCCAGCCTGGCAACAGGTGACAGAGTAAGACTCCGTCTCAAAAAAACAAATAATTTAATTCTATGCTCTTTATTTTACAGATGAGAAAACTGAGGCAGAGAGGCAAAGTAGCTTGCCCAAAAAAGATCAGGAAACCAGGCACACAGTGGCTCACTCCCATAATCCCAATACTCTTGACAGACCCAGGAGGGAGGATCATTTGAGCTCAGGAGTTTGAGACCAGCCTGGGCAGTATAGCGAGACCCACATTTCTAAAACAAAAGAAAATAAAATTACCCCCAGTTTGGTTGCACATGCCTGGAGTCCCAGCTGGTGGGGAAGCTGAGGCAGGAGAATCTTTTGCAACCAGGAGTTCAAGGCTGCAGTGAGCTATGATCATACCATGGCACTCCAGCCTGGGCAACAGAATGAGACCCAGTCTCTAAAAAAGTAGAAGGAAAAAAAAGATTAAGAATGGATGTAGGGCAGCAGAATTTCAAACTTATTTTTCAGAATCACAACACTTTTTTTTTTTTTGAGACAGAGTCTCACTCTGTCACCCAGACTGGAGTGCAGTGGTGTAATCTTGGTTCACTGCAACCTCCACCCTTCTGGGCTCAAGAGATTCTCTTGCTTCAGCCTCCAGAGTAGCTGGATTATAGGCACGAACCACCACACCCAGCTAAATTTTTGTATTTTTGTCAGGGCAGAGTTTCTCCATGTTGGGCAGGCTGGTCTCGAACTCCTGACCACAGATGATCCACCCACCTCAGCTTCCGGGATTACAGGTATGAGCCACCACACCCGGCCCAGAATCACAATACTTTAAAGCAGTGATTGTCACCTGTCTCAAACCCATTGCCCCTCACATAGGAAATATTTTGTAGCATATTTTTTAGTAACTTGAAATGAAATTCATGATAATTAACCCATCTACACACAATTTAAAAGTCAATATAGGGCCCTAACAGCAATATAAAGGGGAAATAAAAAGAAAGTAATTATAATAAAATAACTTTTAGTTCAATAAGTAAATTCTTGCCCAGTGCTTCTTAATTTTAATGTTCATATGAACCATCCAGCGTTCTTATTAAATGCAGAATCTGGTTCAGGAGGTCTGGCTCAGTGGATTTTGGTTCGGTAGCTAGGCCCTGAGACTTGGCATTTCTAGCAAACTCCTAGATGTGCCCACACTGCTGTTTAGCAAGATCATGGTTTGAGTAGTAAGGGCCTAGAAGTAAAAACAACAAACAAACAAAACAAAAAACTCCACACATTTCCATAATGTGCCCCCACAGTGGTACCTGCCAGCCCTGTTAGAACTGATGTTAACAGCTGAAATATGGGCTGGGCACGGTGGCGCTCACCTGTCATCCCAGCACTTTGAGAGTCTGAGGTGGGTGGATCACCTGAGGTCAAGAGTTCGAGATGAGCCTGGCTAACATGGTGAAAACCCCATCTCTACCAAAAATACAAAAATCCTCTGGGCATCATGGCAAGTGCCTGTAATCCCAGCCACTTGGGAAGTCAAGGCATGAGAATCACTTGAACTCCGGAGATGGAGGCTGCAGTGAGCTGAGAATGTGCCACTGTACTCTGGCCTGGGCCACAGAGCAAGAACCTGTCTCAAAAGAAAGAGAGGAGTTGAAATATGTAGCAAATTATTTTTGCATTTTTAAAAAGTCCTCATCAAAGTGCAAATTTGTCATTTAGTTATTTATTATTTATTTATTTATGTTGAGATGGAGTCTCACTCTGTTGCCCAGGCTGGAGTACAGTGGTGTATGATCTCGGCTCACTGAACCTCCATCTCCTGTATTCATGTGATTCTCCTGCCTCAGCCTCCTGAGTAGCTGGAATTACAGGCACGTGCTACCACCTCCAGCTAATTTTTGTGTTGTTAGTAGGGATGGGGTTGGCCAGGCTGGTGTCGAACTCCTGACCTCAAGTGATCTGCCCACGTAGGACTCCCAAAGTGCTAGGAGCCACCATGCCTGGCCTGTCAATACTTGTAAGTAAGAAGGTACTCCAGCGGCACAATGGAGCTGATGGGATGATGGAGCAGGGTCATCGAGGAGGTGAGGAGAGACTGCTGAAAAGGGGATACTGCTCAGAGACCAGGTTCCTGCCCCTTGGTGTCTCCCCAGGGAGCTGGTGCACAAGGTCCTGAGACCTGCCCCACAGCTGGGGGAAGACAGGGATGGGTGCCTGTAGCAGCGTGGTGTTGTGAAACAAACTTAAACCCAGCACTCTGGGTGCTGACAGTGTAAAAAAGAGAAAACGGAGTCGAGAGTTAGGAGCCTCCTGTCAGCAACTCTGGGTGAGGATTGTTACAATAAGTTAGGGAGCTTTGTCATTTTTGTGATTTGCACTTTTTTCTAGGCAGCTGATTTTAAAAAGTAATTATTTATAGTCAAGACTTGCAGTTGAGCTGTCCATCCATTTTATGTTCAGCTCCAACTACCTTCGTGTTTCTCCTGAGTTTCTATGCTCTGTGATATATAGTGGACATGTCACGGCATTTGCCACACTAAATGTCCCACATCCAGAGGGCTAGCCATGCAGGATGGTAGTTAAAGCATCGGTGTGGGGGTCGTGCTGCTAAGATGCTGCTCAGGCTACTAGCTATCTATGTCACCGTGGGCAAAGGAAGGAGCCTATCTGTGCCTCACTTCCCTCTTCTGCAAATAGAACTAGTAGTACATCCACTGCCTGTTGTAGTTGAGAGAACCAAATGAGGTAATACAATGTAAAGTGTTTAAAACTCCACAAATGGGCTGGGCGCAGTGGCTCACACCAGTAATCTTAGCACTTTGGGAGGTCAAGGCGGGTAGATCACCTGAGGTCAGGAGTTTGAGATCAGCCTGGCCAACATGGTGAAACCCCATCTCAACTAAAAATACAAAAATTAGCTGGGCATGGTGGCGCATGCCTGTAATTCCAGCTCCTTGGGAGGCTGAGGCAGGAGAATCACCTGAAGCTGGGAGGTGGAGGCTGAAGTGAGCCAAGATCATGCTGTTGCACTCCAGCTTGGGCAACAAGAGCAAAACTCCATCTCAAAAACAAAACAAAACAAAAACCCACAAATTTTAGCTGGTAGCTCTCAAGGAGTATGTCCTCTGGGGCACTTTACCTGCAATTAAAGCATGCTGACACTAGGTAGCGCCTGCACATAAATAGCTTGATTTACCTCAGTAACAGACATAATGACCAAAGCCTAGTATCCTTTTCTTTGCTGGTAGACTCTTTCTAAAACATTTAACTTTTTTTTTTTTTTTTTTTGGAGATGGAATCTCGCTCTGTTGCCCAGGTTGGAGTGCTGTGATGTGATCTCAGCTCATTGCAGCCTCCACCTCGCAAGTTCAAGCAATTCTCCTGCCTCAGCCTCCTGAGCAGCTGGGATTACAGGTGTGCACCACCATACCTGGCCAATTTTTGTATTTTTAGTTGAGATGAGGTTTTACCATGTTGGCTGGGCTGGTCTTAAACTCCTGATCTCAAGTGATCTGCCCAACTTAGCCTCCCAAAGTACTGGGATTACAGGCATGAGCCACCACACCCAACCTATTCAACTATTTTTTAGAGCATTTCAACAAAGGCATTGATTAATCTACCAAAAGTACCCAAGACAGTGCAACTGGTACTTTTGAAATATTAGTCAATGTCTTGATCTTCATCATATATATTTAAATATATATAAAGAATATATATATTTGTATATAAATAATATACTTATATATAAAGAATATATATAAAAAGAATATATACTTATGTAGACAGTATATATATTCATACATAAAGAATCTATTCATATATAAAGAATATATACCTATATATGTAAAAACATATATTTATATTTATATATAAAGAATATATATATATATATTCTTTCCTTCAAGGGAACTTGCGTTTGACTCCTGGCTTACATTCCACCAGGTTGCTCAGTCTTTCTTGCAGCTTATGTCTCTCATGGTAATAGAAAGGTCCCTGGGTTTGGGTGGCCCTGCAGGCACTCAGAGAGTCACTGGTCTGATAGAACACACATCATCCTGGGCCAGCCATGTCCCCCCAGGTCCACTGACTTTGCAGCTTCTGGGTCTCCTGGGCGCTGCATCATCTTTGCCAAAGTCGAGCCTCTCTCAAGTCGTCATTTCTGATTGCTGATGGGGGCAAGTAGAGGCCCTGCTGTGGGTACAACCCAAGGACTCCAAAAAGCTCCTTTCCTCACCTGTTGCATCTCAAAGCCCTCTCCTTGTCCCCTCTCAGGGAAAGTACACCAAGCATAATTGCCTTAATGGATCAGGCTTTTGAAAAACAAAAAATCCCAAGGTAAAGTACGTCTGGAGCCATCTCCACTTCTGCCCCACCACAAACTTCCTAGGACCAAAAAATCATGGAGCCTGGCCAGCTGCCTGAAGGAAGCTAAAGGGAAGAACAGAAGGAGACAATAGAAGTCGCCATTTCAAAGAAAGAGCCCTGCCTGCCTAATACCATGTCAACCTACATCTCAGTAGAATACACCCTATAGAGCAAGATTTGTAGAACTGCTAGCTCCTCGGTACAACTAGGTAACCTTTTAAACCAACATCAGTACGTTTATAATTTAAGACGACTCATCCCTTCCGGCTAAGTGGTTAGCCTAATGTGCTTTTTGAAAGAGTAAGGTGATATGTACAAGAGTAATTAAACCTTTTCCTACTGTTACCTGTCATCTACATTTCCAGCTAATGAGGTTTCTACTAAAATTATAGTAAAATGTCATGAAGTAGTGCTCATGAAGGGAGCAGTAGCCTTATAGTCAGAGAGATTTCATGGGGACGTTGTCCTCCCGTCCTATCTCATTAGCTTGACATCTTACCAGGACCTCCACTCCTGAAAAGTGTTTCAGTGGCATGAATCTTACACCTGCACTGGGCCCTGCTAGGCTCAGAGGCCCAGACAGAGTAGGCAACATCTTACTCATAGCACACAATTTCTAAGGCTTTCCCTTTACACCTCATTTTTGCAAACATTCTCTCATTTCAGGATGAATCCAATATAGTCCCACGTATTCTTCTTTCTTTTTGCTTCCATCTGGTCAGTTGGCAAGCAGATGTTACTCCTAACAACAGCAGAGATCAGCAAACCTTCTCTGTAAAGGACCAGATAATAAACATTTTGGGCCCTCGGGCTGTCTTGGTCGCAACTACTCCACTCTGCTGTCTTAGCTGAAAAGCAGCCATTGTGGGTTTCTTTTTTTACTTTCTTTCTTTCTTTTTTTTTTTTTTTGAGACAGAGTCTCGCTCTGTCAACCAGGCTGGAGTGTGGTGGTGTGATCTCAGCTCACCGAAACTTCCAGCCTCCCAGGTTCAAGCAATTCTCATGTTTCAGCCTCCCGAGTAGCTGGGATTACAGGCGTGTGCCATCACGCCCAGCTAATTTTTGTATTCTTAGTAGAGACAGGGTTTTCACCATGTTGGCCAAGATGGTTTTGAACTCCTGACCTCAGGTGATTCACCCGCCTGGGCCTCCCAAAGTGCTAGGGTTAGAGGCATGAGCCATGCCACTCAGCCTGTGGCTGGATTTCTACTAAACCTTTACTATGGCCGCAAAATTTGAATTTCATATATTTTTCACAGGTCAAAAAATATTACTCTTCTGTTCAACTGTGTGAAAATGTAAAAACTGTTTTTAGACCATGAGCCATACAAAAACAATCGGTGGCTACATTTGGCCCATGGGCCAAAGTTTGGGCCAGTTCTTGATCATTCTCACTAATGGACAGAAAGTGGTCCCCCAGGCAGCAAATAATTCACAAATCACTTCTAATCTGTAATTTTTTAAACAGCATGCTTATTATCCTGGTTACCTTGATTCTTTCTAGTCCAGTAATAAAATTAGCGCACATTCCAGGGGAGCAGAGACAAAGAGGCCACTTTAAAGCTAGGCCGGGCTGTGGGGGGCTTGTGCAGTGATTGCAAACCCCCAGCGGAAGAGGGGGGTCCTCCCACAGATAATGACTCACTTCCTGTAGGAACAGCAAGCATTTTAATACGTTCTTACCAAAAATGTAAATGGTAGCAATGCTAATTATGCATTCTTTCTTCATTTACACATTGGCACTTTTTTTTTAAATCAGAAAACTGATTGCTAATTTATCTTGTTGCCATGGTGATTTAAACATTTCCCTGCGCTGGAAAATACATGCCTTTGTACTTCATAAACTTCCTCAGAGATCATCAGGAAGGTAAATCTTAGGATCAGAGTGGGTTTCAACGTCATCTACTCCAAGACTCTCAATTCACAAGTGAGGAAACCGAGGCCCGGGAGATTTAAACATTTACCACCAAGATGTCTGCCGTTCTGTATCTATCCCAAGGTCACTTGTTAGCAGCAGATAAATGAGACTTGCCCAAACCAGTTCTCCCGACTGTAGCAAAATGGTCTTTGTGCCTCATCACTGGGGCTTTGATCACTAGATCACCTGCCAGAGTAATGACTTTATTTATTTATGTATTTATTTATGTATTCATTTATTTTGAGATGGAGTTCCACTCTTGCTGCCCAGGAGAGAGTGCAATGGCACATTCTTGGCTCACTGCAACCTCCTCCTCTTGGGTTCAAGCTATTCTCCAGCCTCAGCCTCCTCAGTAGCTGAGCTGACAGGCACCCACCACCACGCCTGGCTAATTTTTTTGTATTTTTATTAGAGAGAGGGTTTCACCATGTTGGCCAGGTTGGTCTCAAACTCTTGATCTCAGGTGATCTGGCTGCCTCAACCTCCCAAAGTGCGGGGATTACAGGCGTGGGCTGCCACGCCTGCGCACCTGGCTGAGTAATGACTTTAGTGACCTTAGAAAGGGCACATCATTCTACAGCATCCTGCCCCTTCCCACCACTTTCCTATTCTTTCAGAACAGTCTTGGAATCCACGACCTCTTCTGTAGGTACTGGAAGGGGCCCCGAGGAGAATTCCTGCATATATCCAGAAAAGCCCGAAGTTTGGGGACCCATTCTTGAACTTCCTAGAATGTCCCCTTGGGGAAGACCATTGGCACTTGGAGGTGAAAGACTTGAAGGGTTTTTATCTAGATATCAGATTGTCAGCATGTGGTGGCATCTTGCTAAACTTAGATAATGGGTCAAAGTTGCCTGGCTGGTTAGTTTCAGGGTCATTAGACTGGATGCATCTCTCCTGGCTTGCCAGAGTCTAGGTGTGGTTGTGCGTCCTGAATGCACTGTTTTGAGTATTCAGTACCTGTTGTGCATGTGTCTCTGCAGCGAGCAATCCCCCTCCAAGACCATCCCGGGCCTCCCCAGACACTGCCACGTCCACTGCAAGTCCAGCTGTGACCCCGGCTGCAGATGCCTCTGACCAGGACCAGGCCACAGTCACTAATAACCTGGAGCCACGTGGGTGAACTGTGCACTCCAGTTCTCTCCAGATGAGAGAAAAGCCTTTCAACAGCTGGTATTGGGAAGCTGGGGCCAGGGCATGATCCTGATGAACACCTTAAATGTCTTGTCAACTGGATGCAAATCTTGCACTTGGTGTCATTCTTTTTTTAAGTCAAATTACAAGGAAGTACCCAGATCAGGCAGTGGTAATACCAAAGGTCATCAAACACATACAGGGAACATCTTGATCAAAGGGCATGTGTGGAAGTTTACTGGGTCATCACAGACTTTTGTTCCTAGTGATTGAATGTATTAGGAGTCATGGCTTGCCCTGTGGCTGATCTGGATCCTTAGACACTAAGAGGTGTCTTAAGAATCACAGTAGATGGTTCATTCCTTTATCAAAGAACAGAAAATTAGGACTTCTCTACGGGGTAGATAAGATTTTGGTACCTGTGTTTGCCACAGCCCTGTTCCTCAAAGCCGAATTGATAGATTCGCTTTGACTTCCAAGGCCCAGCAGTTATAAGGCACCTTGAAATAAATTGTTTATGCCTGGAAACGCAGGGAGGGTAATGGCTTTGTAAATTGGTTTACATTTTTCTCCTTGAATTTTTCTAGGGTCGTTGCGCTTCCAAATCATTTAATGACATTGTCGGATATCTTTTACATTTCAATTGCAATCTATGAAATTACATTTAGAAGATTCTTAGTATTTAAGTGTAGTCTTCTCCATGAATTACCCATTAGAATAGACTGGCAGCAACGGAATATGCAGAAAGTAAGCCTTTAGCTTATAGTTTTATTCCTACCCCTTTTGCCTGCCTGAGTCTGCACAGGGTGTGTGTGTGTGTGTGTGTGTGTGTGTGTGTGTGTGTGTGTTAGGGAGAGGAAGAGGAAGAGCAGAATGCCTGTATACTACATGCTGCTAAGGTAGTAAATAAATCGGTAATGCAATATTGTGGGTCCAAACTACTCTTTGCACTACTTTATTTACAGTAGTAAATAAAATTATTTTTATACAATTGACTACCAGAAAGTGTTTTGTTTTTCTTTTTTATAATTACTCTTACCATACAAAGTCTACAGGTCCATGCATACTTCTTGAGGAGGCGAAAAAGAAAAGTCCTCCTGATGAGGGGGCTTATTTTTCATAACCCATTAACATTTGCAGATAGAAAGGTGGCAGGAGGCTTCTCTCCAGGAATCCTGCGGTCAGGGCTGGGCCCGGAACGTTTGCAGGGTATCAGACATTGTTTCAGGGCTTCATGCTGCTCTGAGGCTGGGCTTCATGTTAATTTCAGGCTAAGTTTGCAGTTCATCCTCCTCCTCCTATGAGTGCTGCTCTTGTTTTAGCAAATGTCCCCTGATTTGCACAAAAGCCAGACGTTGGGGGCTGACAGTCCTGGATTCAAATTCTGGTCCTGTAACTGACAAGCTCAGTAACGTTCGGTGAGTGATTAACCTTCTCTGAGTCTCAGATTCCTGTGCTATAAAATGGGGTGATAAAAACCACCTTTTGGGCTTTTCATGAGGCTTAATTGAGATATTGCATGTAAAGCCTACAAGATAGGGTCTTGTATTAGGCCGTTCTTGCATTGCTATAACGAAATACTGGAGACAGGGTAGTTTATAAAGAAAAGAGGTTTAGTTGGCTCAGAGTCCTGCAGACCTTACAGGAAACATAGTGCTGACAGCCATTTGACCTCCAGGGAGGCCTCAGGAAGCTTCATGACAGAAGGGGAAGCGGGAGCAGGCCTGTCTCACATGGCCAGAGCAGGAGCAAGAGAGAGCCGGGCAGGTGCCACAGACGGTTATTGATTTTATTTTTGTTTCTCTCTCTCTCTGTCTAGAAAAAAAAAAAAAAAAAATATATATATATATATATATATATAGAGAGAGAGAGAGAGATGTGTGTGCGTGTGATATTGTCATATATATGTCATATAAGAAATATATAATATATAAAGACATTTTTAATATGAAACATATCGCACACACACACACATATATATAGAGAGAGAAATATGTGTGTGCGTGTGCGATATATATGTCATATATATGACATATATATCGCACACGCACACACACATATATATATAGAGAGAGAGAGAGAGAGAGTCTTGCTCTGTCTCTCAGGCTGGAATGCAGTGGCACAATCTCAGCTCACTGCAACCTCCACCTCCTAGGTTCTGGTGCCTCAGCCTCCAAGTAGCTGGGACTGCAAGCATGTGCCACCATGCCCAGTGATTTTTTTGTATTTTTAGTAGAAACAGGGTTTTGTCATGTTGCCCAGGCTGGTCTCGAACTCCTGAGCTCAGGCAATCCAATTGGCTCAGCCTCCGTAAGTGTTGGGATTACAGGCATGAGCCACTGCACCCAGCCTATTACATATATGTGTGTATATACATATATATTTGTTTTAAATTTTTTGCCACATAATTTTAAATAATCTGCTGTCACAAGAACTCACCGTCATGAGGGCAGCATCAAGGGGATGGTGCTAAACGGTTCGTGAGAAATCCATCCCCATTATCCAATCATCTCAACACTGAGATTTGAGCAGAGCAAATATCCAAACTATATCAGGTCCTAAATATGGTTGGTTATTATTTTTATAACATAAGAAAGAGCAATCTTCACTGGGCACAGTGGCTCACACCTATAATACCAGCACCCTAGGAGACCGAGACAGGCAGATAATCTGAGGGTGGGAATTTGAGACCAGCCTGGCCAACATGGTAAAACCCCATCTCTACTAAAAATATAAAAATTTAGCCAGGTGTTGTGGCGGGCACCTGTAATCCCAGCTACTCCGGAGGCTGAGGCAGGAAAATCGCTTGAAGCCTGGAGGCGGAGGTTGTGGTAAGCCGAGATCATGCCACTGCCCTCCAGCCTCAGCAACAGAGGGGTCTCTGCTTCAATAAAAAATAAAAAAAAAAAGGAAAGAAAGAAGAAAGAAAGAAAGAAAGAGAGAGAGAGAAAGAAAGAAAGAAAGAAAGAAAGAAAGAAAGAAAGAAAGAAAGAAAGAAAGAAAGAAAGAAGAAAGAGAAGAAAGAAAAGAAAGAGAAAGAGCAGGCTGAGGGGCTAGAGAGTGACTGCTCTGCTGAGATCCTCTCTTTATGGCAAACACACCCATTTCCAATCTGCTGGGAACATGAGCTGCTGACTGCTCACAGCTACACGCCACACTGGGAATCACCTCAGCTGTAGGGATCTGGCCAAGGTCAAATCCTCGCAAGAGCAGCCTATGGCCAGTGGTTCCTTGATGTAGGCAGTTTCTCAATCTCAGCACTATCGACATTTGAGCTGGACAGTTCTTCACTGCGGGGCAGGGTTGTCTTGTGCACTACAGAATGTTAAACAGCACCCCTGGCCTTGAATGAATGAATGCTTGTAGAGGGCGCTCGCCATCCCTGCCTCCCAGTGTGACAGCCAAAAATGCCTCCAGACATTGCCAGACACCTCCTTGGGAGCAAATTCACAATCTCTTCCCCTGGAAAATGACTGATGCAGGAAAACAAAGGTCCTTGCCTCTGTTTGGAACAGTGCTGAAAGCCAGGGCATCCCAGCTCCAAAACTCCATCTTGGTTGCAACCTCACTGCAATGCAACTTCCCACTCTGCCCAGTTCCCAGTTCTGCCTTCCTCATGTTCCTTTATTTATTTTTATTTTTATTTATTTATTTTTTTTTGAGAATGAGTCTTGCTCTGTCACCCAAGCTGGAGGACAGTAGCATGATCTTGATCCTGGCTCACTGCAACCTCTGCCTCCTGGGCTCAAGAGATTTTCCTGCCCCAGCCTCCCCAGTAGCTGGGATTACAGGCATGTGCCACTATGCCCAGTTAATTTTTGTGTTTTTTGTAGAGGTGGGATTTTTGCCATGTTGACTAAGCTGGTCTTGAACTCCAGACCTCAAGTGATCTACCAGCCCCAGCCTCCCAAAGTGCTGGATTACAGGCATGAGCCCGGCACAGTGGCTAATGCCTATAATCCCAGCACTCTGGGAGGCCAACACGGGTGGATCACTTGAGGTCAGGAGTCCGAGACCAGCCTGGCCAACGTGGTGAAACCCCATCTCTACTAAAAATACAAAATTAGCCGGCATTTCCTCATGTTCTTATAGGATTTTCCAACACTGATCCCCAGAAATCTTCACATCCAACTCTGTGCCTCAATTTCTATAAAAAAAAAACCCTAATGTATTACTTTGCTGGGGCTGCTATAACCAAGTACCACATACTGGGTAGCTTAAACAACAGAAATTTATGTTCTCACAGTTTGTCCAAGATCAAGGCATCAGCAGGATTGAATCCTCTAAATCCTCTCTCCTTGCTTGTAGATGGCTGTCATCTTTCGGTGTCTTCACGTGGTCTCTCCTCTGTGTGTGTCTGTGTCCCAATCTCTTCTCATGAGGACAGCAGCCATACTGGATTAAGACCCACACATATAAGCCCAGCACAGTGGCTAATGCCTATAATCCCAGCACTCTGGGAGGCCAACACGGGTGGATCACTTGAGGTCAGGAGTTCGAGACCAGCCTGGCCAACGTGGTGAAACCCCATCTCTACTAAAAATACAAAAATTAGCCAGGCATGGTAGCGTGCGCCAGTAATCACAGCTACTCAGGAGGCTGAGGCACAAGAATCGCTTGAACCTGGGAGGTGGAGGTTGCAGTGAGCTGAGATCACACCACTGCACTCCAGCTTAGGTGACAGAGCAAGAATATCTTGAAAAAAAAAAAAAAACCCACACATATGACTAAATTTTATCTTAATTAACTCTTTTTTCTTTTTTTAGATGGAGTCTTACACTATCTTCCAGGCTGGAGTGCAGTGGCAAGATCTCAGCTCACTGCTGTCTCCCACTCCTGGATTCAAGCTGTTCTCCTACCTCAGCCTCCCAAGTAGCTAGGATTATAGGTACACACCAGCACACCCAGCTAATTTTTGTATTTTTAGTAGAGACGGAGTTTTGTCATGTTGGCCAGGCTGGTTTTGAACTCCTGACCTCAGGTGATCCACCCACCTCTACCTTCCAAAGTGCTGGGGTTACGGTGTGAGCCACCATGCCCAGCCAATTGACTCAACTCTGAAAAAGCCCTGTCTTCAAATACTGCCACATTCTGAGGTGCTCAGGGTTGGAATTTTAACATGGGAATTTAGTGGCAGGACACAAGTCAGCCCCTACCATCAACAGACCTCACAACATGGGAGGCTGCTTCCCGTCCAGAATATGGACTCATTCATGGGAGCCATCCTGGTCTGCTCAGCTCCAAGTGAGGTTGGGAAATGCTGGGGTTCAGGTGAAGCTGGTAAGCTCATTGTCAATTCACGTTCCACCTTACACTTCCGTTCTCTGGGGATTTCTCAAGAATGTATGATCTGGGTCCAGCACACACCTTCTCAAGCCCCAAACTTCCTCTTCTCTCCTTAAATTCTAAATACAATTTCCATAAGCCTAGTGTCCAAGCTGGCTGGAATAGAACCCTGAAAAATAAAGGCAACATGGGGTAGGAGGGAAGGAAAAAGGAAATAGGAGGTGTGAAAGAAAAGTAAATCTTGGGACCCCCAAAATTACTAAACTAAAAGGAAAAGTCAAGCTGGGAACTGCTTAGAGCAAACCTGCCTCCTTTTTTATTCAAAGTCACCCCTCTGCTCACTGAGATAAATACATATCTGATCTCCTCCTTGGGGAAAAACGAATCAGAAACTCAAAAGAACACAACAGTTGGCCCGGCACGGTGGCTCATGTCTGTAATCCCAGCACTTTGGGAGGCTGGGGAGGGTGAATCACGAGGTCAGGAGTTCGAGACCAGTCTGGCCAACCCAGTGAAACCCTGTCTCTACTAAAAATACAAAAAAAGTAGCCAGACGTGGTGGTGTGCACCTGTAATCCCAGCTACTCAGAAGGCTGAGGCAGGAGAGTCACGTGAACCTGGGAGGTGGTGGTTGCAGCGAGCTGAGATCGAGCCCCAGCGCGGGTGACAGTGTGAGACTCCATCTCAAAAAAAATAAAAATAAAAACAA